TCTGAAATCGGGTTGGACTGTTTCAAATGGTTCTAGCCAGTTCTAAAATGGTTTTAAATGATTCTGGACAGTTTTCATTGGTTCTAAGATCGTCCTTGAACTGGTCATAGTCAGTTCTAAAGTGGTATTGAATGATTCTGATCAGTTCTAAATGGTTATTAGATCGTCCTGAACTATCTTAAATGTTCTTTATTAGTTCTAAAATAGTTCTAACTGATTCTTGGCCGTTCTAATTAGTTCTAAGCTACTCCTGAACTGAATGAAATGGTCACAAATCATTTTGAAAATGATTCGAAATTATTCTTGACAGTTTTCGATGGTTCTGAGATCATCCGTTCTAAATGATTTTAAAATGCTTCTAAAAGATTGTTGCCAATTCTAATTGGATCTAAAATAGGTTCCGAACACTTTCAAATGTTCCTAGTCAGTTCTAAAATGGTTCTAAATGATTGTCGCCAATTCTAATTGGTTCTAAAATAGTTCAGAACTGTTTCAAATGGTCATAGACAGTTCTAAAATGGTTCTAATTGATTGTCGCCAATTCTAATTGGTTCTAAAATAGGTTCCGAACACTTTCAAATGGTCCTAGTTAGTTCTAAAATGGTTCTAATTGATTGTCGCCAATTCTAATTGGTTCTAAAATAGTTCTGAACTGTTTCAAATGGTCATAGACAGTTCTAAAATGGTTCTAATTGATTGTCGCCAATTCTAATTGGTTCTTAAATAGTTCTAAACTGTTTCAAATAGTCCTAGTCATTTCTAAAATGGTTCTAAATGATTCTGGACAGTTGTTAATAGTTCTGAGTTCGTTCGTAATTATCTCGGATGGTCTTATCGTAGCGCTTTAAAAATCCATTCATCGCCGTTGTTGCGGATCATATGTTATATTTTTTTTTCGTTGTTGTCAGTCGTAATGATTGTGTAACGCGTTAGTATACAAATGACCTACTTCTTCGTTCAAAAGTCGCTTCGTTTCGAGTGCGTTCGAGCGCTCGCCCGTCAAATTTGAAATTCAGAAAACCATTGTTTATGAATAAACATTTATAATAAACCCGCGTTGCCGGACGCACGAGGTGGAAATTCTCTTAAAAAAATCTACGAATTTTCTGCGAGAATAATTTAATCGTTGAGTCGGAAAAAGGAATTTTGAATCCTCGCTCAATTACTCTTGCAATTTTGCTGTAAAATGGAACAAAAATTGCGGAAATTGAAGCTTATCTTTCCCATTTACAGCGACCTTAATGCCGGTCCAATTTTAATAAATTATAACTCCTAAGACATTTTAAACCCTTTAACCTAACCGTATGCGTTTAGCTCTATAAGTAACATGAATGCAAAATGCTGTAAATTAGCTCAAAAGTGGATGTGAGCCAAAACGTAAACTTTGCAAGTTTCAAACTGGCAGTGATAAATCATCCTTTTAGTGTCAAAAAAAGGCTAATCTTTGGAACTTTAAATTGAAATGGATCAATGCCAAGTGATTTCGGTTTGGAATGAAAACTTATAGTGCCAAAATGCTAGGTGGCAATACTGATTTATTGGCGGTAAATAAGATTTAGTGACTTTGTCGTACCAACTTGATTGGCTGGAAAGCAAACAAAATCGAGGTCCTGGTGAATTTAAGTGAATATAGACAACACTGTGAACGACAAACTCGAATCCTTCGGTTTTGTTTTGTTTTTTTTTGTTCCAGTCGGACATGCGCTGTTTTTTATCGCTCGCATGAATGACAAAATCACCATTTCTGAAAATATTTTACTATACGGCTATTTTTGTGTGATTGACCTGGAAAAGATTTAGATCCAGCGTTTGTTTTCGCCGAATATTTCGTTAAAATTCGCTCGGTTTTCGAAATGATATAGAACAATGTGATTTTTCGATTTTGTTGTAAATGTTTTATGAATGTGCGCTTCGAGAACGAGGAGGAGGAATTCTAGGTTAGGTGAGCGTTTTTTATTCAATCCAAATGTACAGTTCGAAAATTAATTATCTCCTTACCGAATTTACGAATAAATTTTACCGTTGTTTAAGCGAAACGTGCTTACAATGAACTACTAGTACAGGGTGTCTCGTTAATATTTATACGCTCGTTGTGCAATTTTTTATCCTCCATTGAAAGTGCGTTGATGAATTTATTAAATTTCGTGTCTGCAATATCACGATTATTTAAGTAACCTAATGAACCCATTAATTTTGAAATGTCGATTATAAAAACATATATTTAACAATAAAAGTAATAACAATTTTTTGTTCCGAGAATGTTGACTTGCAATTAAAAAGAGACGATTTGGAAATTATTATTTGATTTGAATTGTTAGGGGAATAGTTGGTACTACTGATTGGTACTACTGATTGGTCATTTTGGTAACTAAATAATTATAGGTTAGGCCTGTGCCATCTTAAATTGACAAAAGAATAAGTATAAAAAATTTGTGTAAAACATATATACAGAAAATATTAGTTTGTATCAAGAAAAAAATATTGCTTGAGTCAGGATGAATATTTTTTTGCATTGTGAAATTTTTCTAACACGCGGTATATTACGAATTTTTAAAAATATTCAGCACGCGATATTTTTTGATTAAAAACGGTCACGTTTCCAAAGATCCTCGACCGAAATAAGAACCTACTGCAGTAAATCAATTTAAAAAATTCTTCTGCTGAGATTACACGACTTATTCGCCCGTCTTTGTCTATTCCTCCCGTTTTTTTGCTTCGCCCATCTCTCTTTATCGCTCTATCTCGATGTAAACCGAGCGTTTAATTAGACTTGTCCTAATCAAAATTAATGACTAATTAATCTAAAAGACGCGAATCTCGGTAAATTGCCTTGTATACGCGTCGTTTTACAATCCAGCCGGCGTTGTTTGCTTTTAGTTATAATTAATTAAATTCAGAGTCGGATATCCTAATATACAGCGTGAACATTCACTTTTGCATCACTAATCCACTCAAATCTCCATCGACGTCATCATAAACGCAAAAATCAACCTGCCATTTGTCACGCTGTCATCCGTCTAACATCGAGCTGTCATTTGTCATTTGTCGTACGTCACGGAATCGCCCTCTAAGCGAATTAATTTGCCGGTATTATTACACTTTAGGAAATTACGAAGGGTTCATTAACTGAACTACGGTCGTTCCGTTGATTTCGAAAACGTCGGTAGGTCGGGCGCGTATACCTCGGGGAAAACGGCTTTTAACGATAATGAGAACAATCTCTTTCGAAAACCAATTGGAATATAAAACGGTCCATCGTTAAGTACGCTAAGGGCTATCGATCCGCGGCGTTCGAGGCCGTCGATTGACGTCTTTCTATAACTTCCTTGTACTCGGAACAGGAAGCGCATCGAAACGTTTGTATTGAGAAGATCCAACCTTTTAGTTTTAGCGACCTTGGTCAATGTTAGAGCCCGCGGCTCTTTATAAAATGGCGGGGGTTAGAGAAACTTTTTCTATAGAGAAGCAAGCGGAACAAAGGCGCGTGGAAACGAAACAAGTTACAGCCTGTCTAGACCTTTCCGAAGCCGAAAGTTTGCTTTGACGCCGTGGAAAGGGGTTTTTCCTCTTTAGCATCATTTGCATGACTGTAGGCTTCGCGGAGAACCATTGTTTGCGAATCGGCCAAGAGCGAATTTGTTTAATTTTCGCTTTGACGAATCCACAAAGGGTTGAATTGAATTTCCCGTTGAATTCTAAAAGCCCCAGCGAAATATTTACTCAACGTAATTAAAAAATAACCGTTGCCTCGTTCCTAAAACTAGCCAATTAATCAAACGAATTTCTTTTTTCAGAGCCCGAAACAGCCAGCAAACTAGCCCTTCCTCTGGGAAAAGCTTCGCCGCCTGTCCAGTGGGGATCCAGAAGAGCAGCCGGTAAGTAACCTAATAATTCGTCGAAAAAAATACACGAGATACGGCACTGAATTTTCCGCTTCCTTGAAGCTAAAGTTTCGTGTCCATTGATTCGATGAACGAGGAACCTACGCTTGTCCCAGTCTCAGACGTTTTATAGAAATCGGAATAAACTCATTAAAACCGCACGATATTGTACAGGATGTACTTATTTACTAGGGCCATATGTCCTAGTTTTATGAGGCAATAGGCTGTATTTATAAAAAGAAGTACAACCTTTTGCTTCAAAAAAATGAAGGAATTGCTTCAAGGTATATGCATAAAAAGATGAATGAAGAGAATGAAGAAAATGAAGAGAGGCTTTGCTTCGATTACCCTGCTGTTGCTTTAAAGCAAAAGGTTTTAACGTTTTTAAATTTTTTTATATAGTTTTAGAACCTTTTTCTCTTATTTTTTGCCTCTACCTTTTTCTTCAAAGTAAATGCTTTAGTTTGAAGCAAGTACATATTCTATTCGATCTCTGGATTTATTTGCTCTATATTTTGTGAGGTACCTACTTAGTTTATATAAGGAAAAAAGTAATCATCCTAAACCTAGTTTTTGGTGAAACTTTGCTTAAGAAACATTCCAACCTTACTTAACCGTCAAAAGTAAAAATAAAACAACTTTGGCCTTTTACGTCTCAGCAAACTGATAATACTTGCAGCAATCTACTATACCTACACTCCATTGCGAGTTACACGAGATTCTTTCAACCGAATGATATTTCTTCGAACTACATGCTGTATATAAATGCGATATATCCTCTTCCGCCGTTCGACGTGCATACGCAACGTCGCGTCGTTGCCGTAATTGATTAAAAAAGGCGTCGTAAAAAGCGAATTACGCGAAAACCGTTAACCGAATCAACGTCTCGGGCGTGGGTTTCCTTAATTCCTGCTTCCACGCGGCGCATTTCTTCGAGGAAATTTCGTCAAGTGGACGGATACTCCAATTAATACTGTTCTCTAATTGTTCTTCTATCATTTCATCGTCAACGCTGCTTTCGTCGTCTGCATACAGGAATTATTATACAGGGATTTTCACTGTAACCGTTCGTTAGAAGTGGCTGTAGACTACTATGAAATAACCGAAATTTTAGTCGATAAAAAGATGATTTTAATTGAAAAAGGTTACAATCGACGTGTGGCACGTCTGTTATTACCAAACCACATCTTTACCAGACAAAATGTAGCGACCGGCGGCCGGTTTGTGAGCGAACCTGCAGGTGCGAAAGTACGGGTGAAATTTGCATTTGAAGTAATTCCGATTGATGGTGCTGTTGCAAATGTATTTGGCTTCGTCGCGCGGCTGTTGGGATATCTCTTTGTCCGGGCATTGGCGTTGTCGTCGCGACAGCTCCTTCAGATCGTACGTGGACGGTCTGGCGTTCTGATAGACGAAGCCGATTTCAGCGCAAGGCAGAAAGAACTTGGGGTTTTGGGTGACGAAATCGTAGGGCATCGTCGCGGTGGGTTCCGCCTTTTCGAAGTACCTGGTCAGATTCGTCCGCAGCATTTCGATGCTTTCTTGCTTCGAGGAATTACCTGCGAGTAGATCCGATTAAAGAGCCTATATACCTATCGATGAATGAACTATAACCTTCTGTCCTGGTGTTGCTGCACATATCCGACGAGCTCTTCGTCGGCGAGTTGTTCTTAATCAACGTCTGCGATATCTTATCGACGTAGGTCAAAATCGATCTACGCCTCGACTCCTTCACGACGCCGGTGCACTTGTCGTCGAAGACCTTCGGCAGCGCGTCCAATATGGAATCGTCCTTGGCGAACAGGAATACCTTGTCCGAATATTTCTCGCAGTCCATCAACTCGTCGAAGCTCCTCGACGATTTTATCGACGAATTCATCGACACGTTCGCCTTGGACAGATCGGACAGTCGCTTGGCGAACAGCTCGTCGGCCGAACAGTTGCTTCGACAGATCGACAACAGCGACTTGTCCTGCGCCAGCGACAGCGGAATGTTCTTCGGCGCCGGCTCGAAGAACTTGTAGTTGATCTTGCTGACGATCGATTTGGCCGACAGGCAGCGCAGGTAGCTGTTCTCCTCGTAGTGGAGGATCTCCCGTCTGCCGCAGGAGTAGTCCTGCCAGCGTAGCTCTTCGAACGATTTGTTTTTGTATTCCTTCATGAAAGTTATGCTATAATCATTGTTTTGTTAACGTTATTAACACTTATCGAAAGTACACCAACTAAACCAAGTATTTACTTCTAAAGAAGAGCAGATGGTGAATTTAGCTGGTGAGCTCAGAAGGAATCATTTTTTAGTGCGTTATTTTGGTGGAAGGTCTATTGAATTTACCTATGTATTCTAACGGTGTAGTCGACTTGATCGCGATAGTCTATTCCATTCGTGACGCGAAAGACGATCGGCGTGCCGAAGATGTCCTTTCTGTAGACGGGCCGCAGCGGCGGGAAGTTCTCCGAGTAAAAGTCCTCGATGACGGTGAACTTGGAGGCGTCGTCGTCGAACTCGTCGGCGCCGGCGTTGCAGCAACAGCAGCAGCCGCAGCGCTGCCTTTGCCTGGTCCTCGATCTGGATTTCCTTTTCCTGCGCGATATGTTCTTGACGCGCTTGATGATGAGGGACATTTGCACGAGGTGGATTTTTAACTTGAATTTGAAACGGCTGGACCAATCGGTGATTTTAGACTTTGTTGTTTACCATACGGGACAATTTTCGGCGTCAAAATGTCGCGTCAACGGCGACGTTTCGACTCTTCTCTTCCGATTCTTAAGGCTTCCATGTTTTCGTTATTCAGTTTAAAGTTACGAATTTATTCGAACGGAAGCGCAGTGTATTATATTATATTCTTTATTTTTCCACGAGTGTGTTTTCCGCACGCGACTCTTCGTATAATTCGCCGAAAGCCGAGTTTTTTTCTTTCAATATAAGGACCTGAAGCGAGCAACAGGCGGGCGTAATGCGTTTCGCTTCGAGGAGAATTATGGAGTTTCGTGCGGAGACGAAACTCAAATAAACGAAATGGAATTGGCCATTATCTGAATATTTGCTCGGGCCCTTCGAGCGGATACGGAGCGGAGGAGAGACGAAAATTGCTTCTTCGAGTATTTCTGTTTGTATTGTATTAAATTCTTTACTCGGTATAGTATACCTACTGTAAATATCTATTCTTAATCTCTAATCTAATCTACATCAATACTTATGATTATTATAATTTATTATTTAGTTAAAATATATCAACATGTTTTTGAATTTACGATGAAGTGATGTGTTAGTTAGCAATAATTTCTATTGTTCTTGCATCGTGGCTTGTAGAAATGTTTTAATTAGTTACGAATATTGGTTTTTCTATAGAATTGTTATATTAAAACGAAACGGGAATAAAAATTCATAGTCTATTACCGTAGGTAATTCTCGGTACTTACAATTAATAAAAAAAATACGGCGCCTATAATTACAACAATTAACATTCTAAAGGTATACCATATACACGAAGCATATGAAAAATGCAAGGAAATTGCCGGTTAATAACGTATAATTAACCGGCATTACACAACTCAACAAATTGCATTTATCCTGCTCATTCCATTATGTTCTCACACCAATGCGGCAATTTACGATTCACCATCAATTCGCCAACCCTCGCGATTCCTCGCTACCCGGACTTCCATCGCCGATCCGGCAACGTCGCCTCGCATCGGCGGTCTCAACAAAGACATAGCCGGCAACAAGGTCAGGATTGTGGCGCCACAGACGAACGGTAAACCCCGATAGAACGACACACTCGCCGGCGTGTACACGCTCGCACGTTATACGTTTCAAAGGAAATGGTAAATTCCTCTGGTCTTTTATCGGCACGTGCTAATGGTTGTTTAATTGCAACGTCGCATGGGCGCTGGAATGCCCTAAGGCTACGTTGGCTTGATGTAAAGAAGGCTCTGTATCCAGGGGAATCCAAGGGAATTTGTATGGAAAGGTTCTGAGTATTGAGCAAACCAATATGGAAATGATGATTTTTCCTGGGAAGTACAGAAGTTTGTAAGGAACTTCTAGGCTTAAAAATTTCCACTAAAAGAAAGTTTGGTGGAGAATTTGGCGCAATAAGTGTGTAAGATTCATTTTAAGTGAATTGAAAAAGTCTCTGAATGATTACGAATTAATGGAGATAAGTTGGAACATTAGATAATAATATATTATCACGCTGCCTATCAAATAAAATAAATTGTATCATTGCATTAGACCCCAAAGAAGAAGATTAGAGTCAGGAGTATGATTCAGTATCAGGTTGAGAGCAGGTTATTGTAATGGTCAGGATATTATTGCATGGGAATTGCAACATGATGGAATAGTACAAGATTGAACATAAAAATATTAATTTGTGTATGATAGGGCAATCTTGTTTGCAAGCTACCAATGAAGGTGATTACTTGTGCTCATAATAGAAATAGGTACGAAAAAAAAATGCTTAGAAAAATTCGCAGTTTCGGATAAATTTTAATATCTACATCGCTTTGACCTTTTTTCGCCTAAGTTCACAGATAGTTTACGTGCTTCAAAATAAACAATACAGATATTTTAATGAGCGTACATGCACATAAAACGTATCGGAAAAAAAACATCTAAACAACTGTGTAGTTAGCCTGGTGGCGCCTGCTGTCAATCAAACAACCGCAATCAAAACTTGTTTTTCGTTGAATTATACATAACATGTAATTGTATTTTTTTATTAACAGTAATGCAGCAGATTAAACGTTGTTGTTGGTAGATGAATCGCTTTGGAAAACTCGAATTTTGTTAGGTTAGGAGTGAAAAATCGGCGTAACTTCGCAATCGTTGCCAACCTTAGGTTATTAGTGAGTGATTTAATGAGACAATCGGTACAAATTCCCTTCACGTCGGGTACAATATGGCAACGTGGAGAATCTCGTTCTCGCGTATCTCTCGGTTTCTCCTCGGCCCGTCGTCGGAGTGTTGCCGTCGCCTCCTGGCAAGCGATTGAAAACGATATCAACGGTTTTCAACCAGCATAATACACAGTAGGAGTAGAGGAGTAGACAGTAGTCAGAAATATCCGAACCAGTCCAGACCAGTCGTTGGTGAGCGCCTGTTCTGGTAGCGTCGCGTCGGCCGGAGAATATCGCACGACTCGTTGGGAATCGAAAGAAAAAAGGAGTTTTTTTTTTCTGATCCGAATTTCTATCGTGCTCGTGCAGTGTACGCGCTACAATTGAATCGGAACCGATGGAAAATTTCCGTTTCCTCGTTTAGTTCGGCGGAATGTTTCGAGATAACGTTCTTTCCGCTGGTGTACGGGATCATTTTCAAACTTTCCCATTCGAAAATTCGAATTTGCGCACGGTACATTGGCTTTTTTTTTTAATTATTATTAGTGCGTGGATGGTGATAATTGTTGCGTTAAATACTTAAAATCTGTATATATTTTTTTGTCGTTAAAATAACGGAATGTAATAGGTATTATCGGACGATTTCTACCAGGTACAGAAACCATTAGATTAAGTATTTCCTTATAGTGCATTGTAAACGATTTTTTGTTGTTTCCAAGAACCGAGATAATTCAACGACTTTATGTTTATTATTCTATGATGTAATAGAATTTATCGTAAACTAAGAACATTACTCGACATTAACCTCTAGGTACATAATCCAATAAATTCAATCAATCTCTGTATCTACATACATTCCCCAGAAATTATAAACCACATGTTTGTTAGTTACCCGCCAATTTTTTGAGTACTATAAATTATTTCATATTTTAATAGTCTTTAATCCGGTCCTGTATTTTGTATACTTATACAGGGCCATCCTAAATATCGCGACATTGTCTTCATAATATACCAAATTTGATTCAAATTAGTTTTTTTTTAAATAGATAATATTTATTAAATAACTCAACAAGTTTATTTTTTTCTAAAATTTATCCAACAAGTACACCGAATTAACTTTTTTAATAACGTTGATCGTATCTCAATTAATCGATTAATCCCCATTGTTTGATTAATCGATTAATCTTCGCGTTCATGAACCGAATAGGTTCATTGTTCAAATTTCTTATTCATTCATGCTTCTGGATAACGTTGTTTTGCCACCAATCCGGCCTTTGTTTAATGCTAATACAGAGGAAACCGGTCGCGCGATATTTAAAAAATCCTCTGTATAAGGTGGACGTTCGGATAGTTTTTTTTTTATCATTAATAACGTAAAAATTTTTCATATGTCACGAGCCGATATGGTTCAAGGCTGATCGCTCGTTTTTTAACACTAGTCACCGATTCAGTAGAATCCACGTTACTTAACAGGTTTGTCGGTTCGAGAAAACTCGCAGAAAAAAACCCAATTTCGACTGGAATGACTTCCGAGTAACTAGGTAATTCATTGTTGTATAAGCAAACAGATTTTTAATAGGGAACTCGCTGGATAAATAATCGTTTTCTGGAAAATCCGCATTTCCACATCCGCAACCTTGGCTGTATTTGTGTTTGTCGATTAAAAATTCATTCGGGAAAATTTGTTTTTCGCAAATTCAACTTGGAGAAAGTCCAGATTGAACGAGAATACTTTGCAATTTAATTGCAACTTTAATAAATCATTGTTAATTGACTAATTAGATGGTCAACGTTACAAATTGGATAATTATGAGAAATACGGTCAATATTGATTACAAAATATCCATTAGCTCGTCTCTTATTTGTTTATGGAAATAATTTAGGCAATTATTTAATACGCTTTAACTTACCTGGTTCGTTTAAATAATAGATATTGTAGAAATTAATTTGCGACGTTAAAATAGAATCTGGTTTTTTTTTAGTAAACACTCGTTTAATGATTTAATTACTATTACAATTAGATGTACTTATATACATTGTATGGTTTTAATTAAGGGTTTATACAAGTATAAAACTACAAAAAGTTTCAATATTTCATCGCATCGAAAAAACGGCCCTGAATTCGCGTTACTAATAAAATAAAACCCAATTACCGTGTTACTTATTCATCGGTTGAATTGAATTGAATTCAATTATCTCAATAAAGTCGAAACGGTGAATTTTTATTTGTTTTTCACGACGAGCGACAGCCAGTGATTCGACCTAATTACGAATGAGCCGCCGAATTTCCTTTTTCACCTTTCGAAAATTAAATATTTTGTCGTGGATAAAATATTATAAGAAACCCCTTTGTAAAAAAAATTAGGGACAAAGTGAAGCTTGTATGTACAAGGAACTTGTTTGTCAAAACAACTAAACTATTGTTTTCAAGCCATCGTTTGGTAAATAAACCGAACCAATTTTTGGAATTTCGTCTAGAATAGATGTAGCTAAACAACCGCACAAATATTTACCAAAAAAAAAGTCTGATGTAAAACTAAAAACCGGCCGATCAATCGTCAAGTCAGTCAGTAACCCCTGCAACTTTACAGCATAAAAACCCGATAAATGCAACTGCGATAAACGCGAAACTCTCCTTAGGAAAAAAACCGCGATAAAATAATTACTCGACGAAACGGTATCAATTAATAATTTTGCTGATTTAAATTAAGTTAACGCGATTGCTTGGAAAAATTCCGAACCGCTCTCGCCTATATCGACTTCCTTTTTATTAGTTAAAACTCTTTATCTCGAAACGTCGAGCGACTTTATCGCCGACCAAACTCCTAGAAAACTGATGATTAGGGAAATATTTATCGGACGTTATCTCGATATCGAGACACTCGACGTTCCGTTTGAACAATTCTATAAGTTACATTACCATTGACAGTTCAACAACAATCCACTTTTGATAAAGCCTCGCCTGATTTCTATTTTTTGCTCAATTTAAATACATAATAAACACTCGTGAAACCCAGCAAAGAAAGTTTATAAGTACCTTATGTGGTTAGTTAGTAATTTTTGACAATATTAAAACTTAAAGAGGTGTTTGATTGAATTTTGAAATGCATTATGTATACCCATAATAGTAAATTCGGTTTACTAAGTAGACTTATTGGAGTAAACAAACGTTTCGTTATTACTACAAAAAAAATACAAAACTTATCAACGCGCTACTACGATAAGGTTGCTGATAAAATTGTTTACACTTATCAGTAAATTTGTCGCATTAACAAAATAAGTTCAACGTTAGCGAAACTGCTGATTTTTCGAATCAAATATAAACTTGCAAGCGCCACTGACTGGTTGGTTGACACATTAAGCAATTTATGTAGCGTATGTCGAAGGAATAGATAATTCGATGCAGAATTTAAGTGTATTTGATCACCATCCACTCAAAATATCAGGAAAAAAAATATAGCGATTTTATTTTTAGCAGCAGTTTCTAAACCCGCTCACTACATAGATATGAAACGATTGTCCGAGTCTACCGATAGACTTCGAAAAAGAAAAACCATCGTGGTCCAAAAACAAACCCGCCGAAGATACAACAGTTAGCAATTTATACAGCGTGTATTAACCGGAAAATAGCTAGTTTAGCGATCGCCTCAGAAATTCCCTTACATGTGCGATCGCCCATCGGACGAGCGAACGCCCGAAGAAGCGCCCGACGGCCCGAAAACGGGCGCCGAAAAGTCGAGCGTGCGCGACATCCGGACGAGATTGTTCGCGATACCGGCGAAGGGGATCAAATCGCAGCTGCGGGAGGCGATCTCCTGCTCGTTCGGCGGTAAGCGGCACGCCGACATTATAGGGAAGGCTTCGGGGGTGGCGGTGTCGTTGAAGGGGTGGTGGCGCGATGTGGGGCTCTGCCCCCGGGCGGCGTCCCCTTCAATAGGCGCCTCGCCCGCCGGCCGACGGTCGGTCGTCAGAAGGGGGTCCTTGCGATCCATGGGACAGTCTTTCAGCATGTGCAAATTCAACTGCAGACATAAGAAAGGTGAGTTCCTATGCTTTACAGGAGGTGCTTTACAAGTTTGTGTGAGGATAGTGAAGGAATTAATAACACAGCTGTATCCGCTTTGATTTACTGATTAGCTGATTGAACAATTTTTTTTTGGCTAGAGTTGGTCGTTTCCAAATCCAGTAAATTATTTTTCCCGTCTTTTAGTCCGAAATAATCCGGATTTTTGAGGTTTTTTTTACCAATTTTTGGGTAAATCCATCGAACAATTTTCTTTAAATTTCTCCAAAATGTTATTTATAAACTCTTCTAACATCTGCACTAAACTGCACATCTGAATAAATTCTGTATGGAAAATTATTTGAAAATAAAATTTTCCTGAAGTTTGTGTCAGGATAGTGATGGTGGCCATGAGTTTTCTTTTCTTCAATTAATATTACAGCTGTATCCGCCATGATTTACTGATTAGCTGATTGAACAATTTTTTTTGGCTAGAGTTGGTCGTTTCCAAATCTAGTAAATTATTTTTCCGGTCTTTTAGTCCGAAATAATCCGTATTTTTGAGGTTTTTTTTTGACAATTTTTGCGTAAATCCATCAAACAATTTTCTTTAAATTTCTCCAAAATATTGTTTATAAACTCCTCTAACATTTGCACTAAACTGCACATCTGAATAAATTCTGTATGGAAAATTATTTGAAAATAAAATTATCCTGAAGTTTGTGTCAGGATAGTGATGGTGGCCATGAGTTTTCTTTTCTTCAATTAATATTACAGCTGTATCCGCCATGATTTACTGATTAGCTGATTGAACAATTTTTTTTGGCTAGATTTGGTCGTTTCCAAATCTAGTAAATTATTTTTCCGGTCTTTTAGTCCGAAATAATCCGGATTTTTGAGGTTTTTTTACCAATTTTTGGGTAAATCCATCGCACATTTTTCTTTAAATTTCTCCATAATGTTCTTTATAAACTCTTCTAACATCTGCACTAAATTGCACATCTGAATAAATTCTGTATGGAAAATTATTTGAAAATAAAATTTTCCTGAAGTCATAAAAATAATTCCCAAACATAAAACTTTCAAATTGTACAGAAACCATTAAAATCAAGTTATTCATAAACCACCATCGTTAAAACGATAATAGTTTCTATAGATTTTAGAAAAAGTCACTAAATTTACAAGTATTCTAAATTTCGTATAAACGATAAACCTTTTAGGTTTAAAAGGATAAATTATGATCCTTTGTCATTGCAAATTTAGCAATAAACCGGCCAGCGAGAAGTTCAAACAAAGTCGAACCGGAGACTGTTTTATTATCCGCTAAAAATAAAGTCCCATCGATTCGCGCGTGACGCGCGAATTCTTCTCGCGAGCCGCAATCAATCCTCCGCGCGATGGCCGATTAAAAGGGCGCGGGATAGACGAACAAAAAAAAATGAGGTGAATAGAAGTAATTAGACTCCTTTTGTCTATGTAATTGCCCGATGGAACGAGTAATTTAATTACGGTGCCGTTGGAAACGCGTAAAAAAATAATACCCAGCATTCTATCGATTCGAGGGTAAACAAACTTAAATTTAGCGTCGATTCGTTGAATGAATAAAAGCGAAATTCTACAAAGTTATCGTGTACACGTAATTTACAGAGAAATGCCGGGTTATGTAATTGCTCGGTTATTTTTTTTTTTTGGAAATTGCGCTAAAAATAACTTTTAAACGACGCATTTCATGTCGCAATTTTGGACCAAATCGATGCATCTTAATGCATTTAATTACCTATTTTTAAAAATTTTTGTTGCACTTATGCCAAAAATTTGCGTATCAAACTCGCTAATTACTCCAAATTTTCTTCCTTTACCCGAGTCAAAGATTCAACATTTTTGGTATTATCTAACTAAAAATGGATTTGATTGTTTCAAAACTCACAGTTTCCATCCTGACCTGAATACGCGATCCATAAATAAATTCCTATCATTCTTCCTACGTCCTGAGTGGTATAAAAATACATTCTACATGGGAAACGTGAACTCTCTAGGTACACATGATATTTCTGTTACGCCGCTATAAAAACTCTTTCAGCTACCCACATGAACTCGTATATTTCCAGCAATTTTATTTACTTTGAATAACTGCGTTAATTTCGTTTGAAATTTCTAATTCCGCCGTTCGATCGTATAAATTCACTTTCTCTACGATTAATTCGGCTAAGCTTTGTTTAGTCTTCGACCGAAAAATGTCTAGCAACCCGCGAAATCGTCTCCCAAAGACACTCACAATGCTCCACGGACATTGATGGATGGTGCTTCTGAGTTTTTGTGCCAGCCAACGTCTTTTACTTGGAATAAACCAACTTTAATGGATTAGCTCTTCTCTTATTAATCATCGCTTTGTTAATGAACCCAGAAAATAAACGGGCCGTTTATGCTAAGCAAACAAAGGAAAGATTTATTTTATTTAACCAGTCTTGTAAACATCCAAGTGTCATACGCCTCTTGTCACCTGTCACTTGCCACCAAAGAAGAGCCATTTATGGTAAACACACAAAGGACTTCTAAGTGTCATACGCGTGATGCTGTCACTTGTATCCTGTCGTCTGTCATTTGATATTTTTGAATTCAATCGGAATGCCATGCGTATAAAAAAGTGAGTTGAACAAAACGCCCAGGCTGGGCTATAAAGTGACTCGAGCACTCGACCGGAAAATACATCTTGTAAGGATTCTCGTATACGTATTTAAGTTCTGCAATAAACCCATCTCGGCGTGACGATGCAAATTGTTCGATGCGTTTTATGAGCCTTTCGGAAAATTTATCGAACGAAATTCTCGGATCGCTTTTTAAATCGAATTCCAATCGTTCTAATCGAAAAAAAAAAACGATTCAATTCCAAATTTCTGACGTTTTTGAGTTGACAATTGATACCTGACAGTTGATGCTTGACAGTTGATGCATGGCAGGTGATACTAGACAGTTGACATATATGACTGGTGTCTTCAACTATTTCTATGGATCTGTAATTATACCTTTAGAATTTGGTAAATATTTTGTTCGTCCAATTTACTAAGGATATTACGGATATCTCGAGCAATTTCGTAATCATCGTGTGTTTATCAACAATATTTTATTTATAATTCCTTTATCAATAACTGCCCTACTATAATTTGAAGAGTATTGATTAGTTTTATTAGTTCATACAAAAAATATTAATTAATAGTTGGAAATCTAACAATGGTTTATCAATGTTTTTCCAGAAATTATGACAATGTTCAGGGATCGTGTTGAGTACTGCTATCAATAAGCTTTTACGATCGATTTAATCGCCCTGTAAACTCATATAATCCAAAAATACTGCTCGGTAACGTTTAAAAGTATATTAAAAAAAATCTATATGACCATTTAGAAGAAAAAAAAGCGATTTATTTGTCGTTGACAACCAAAAAAGTTTCGATAATTTTCGGTTTCTGTGTGTTCTAAACGCATAATTAGCTTCGTTCACACACACACACTTCCTGTAGAACACTTTCATCGCCTACAACACACTTTCTACGTCACCAGTTAAAAATATTCCCGCTCGAAAAATCTTCCACCAGTTCCTAATAGTAAACAATATCGTGCATAATATTATAACCTTCCAGGTTATCTGAATGATTGTTTATTAAAAAAAAAACTCGATTTAGATGAGTTATTGGAAAGTGATTGGTAACAGTGCGGTGTAACAAATAGCTAGATAGTTGCAGATGTAGAGAGAATTTTTAAAGTATCATCCCGTTTGTTCGTTATCTCCGCATTTTCGATAAACAAAGTAAAAAAGGAGAATATTGTGCATGCAATCTTCGCTCTTTTATTACGCTAAAATCTTTAAACGTCCGAGCGATTCATATTTTACGACTTTACAGCGAGCTGCATTCACTTAAGCGAGCACAAAGCTCCAGTTTTTTTTTCCAGTTTTTAATAATAAAAGACTCGCCGACAAGCCATAATACCGACCGAGATTTATCTATGCACACACTGAAAATTGCATGCAAACAAAGAAAACGCGCTCTTCATTCATCGAATCGTCTCGGCGTGATGCACTCTTGAATGAACAACTGATTGTCCTCAACTCGTTTACCCCGATTACAAAAATAAAAAATCCGTTGTTGCAGGGCTACAATTGCGGAGCAGCGCGGACGAATCGCGAATGCCTGCAGATGGCGCCACATCAGGATCGGATCCGGCCAATCGGTTGCCCAGGTACAACCACGCTGGCTACGGGCACGTCTACGACCCGGAGTACGCCCAAATGGAGGCCTGGCTCGACGAGCACCCGGACTTCGTCAACGACTACTTCCTCAGGTAAGCCTCGCCCAGGCTCCTCTGCGCGTTAGGTTCCCGTTCCCAGGCTCGTTAGATTAGAGCCGATCGAGGTTGAGCTGCGATCGGAACATCGGCGTATGTTGTTTCTCAGACGTGACTTTCCTTTTTCAGAAAATTCCACCTAACAAGGCCGCAAAACAAACGGTTAGTGCTTGTCGAAAAAATTTGTACGTGAGTGTTTCCAAAAACCAGCAAACATCCAGCAACAATAACGCACACCAATTGCTTCTTTTTTTTTTCCTGTCAATTCCGATTATTTGATTACACCAATTTAAAGTGCCTCAATATTTTAGTAGTGCATTAGACCAATTTGGTTAATGCTATACTTAATTTACAATAAAATAGAGGTCTATTGCAGTACTTAAGGTATTATTGCTTTATGCCTCATCGTGTGGTACAAAGAAATCTAAGGTTCTTATCCAGAAGGTTGCCTTGTACCACAGGAACATTGTTAAACGTGCAAAATGCATATAGGAAATTAAGCATCCAGTAACCAGTACGAGCCAACCTCCTCTGGTGAAGCACCACAACTTACAACCCAAAAAAAACTGGACGTGTTTGTTTGTTGTAGGAAAGCCACCCGGCAGATCGTCGAGCAATGGCAGGTGTCGCACGCGACGCCGACGTCGTCGAGCGTCGAGCTGGCCTCGCCGACGCACAACAGCCAGTCGCGCGGCGGCTCCGGCGCCACGACGCCCGTCCGCAAGATATCGGCGCACGAATTCGAGCGCGGCGGGCTGCTCAAGCCGATGATCAACACCGTCGACGGGCAGCCGACGTTCCTCACCGGCCACGACGGCCAGGGCATGGCCGGCGCCGGCAGCCCGACGCCCGGCCGGCGCCACCGCCGGTCGCGGCACGAGCTCAAGCAGATGGACGAGAAGGATTTGATCTTCGAATTGGTAAGCACGCGAACGCGTCGCGTAGACGGGGCCTAACGGGTAAGAGTTCTTCGAGCGCCTCAAGGACGGTCGCGCGATTTATTTAGAACAGAATCCAGACGAATACTGTCCATAAATTATCTCCCACAGCCGTTTTTATCGCCGGAGGGGCGTTCGTAGTTGGTTATGAATTTCTCTGGATGAAAAAATTTTTACTGCTTTCATTCGGACACTCGCTTCATTATAATAGAGTCCTTGAGATTCTTGAATACCATCCAAACTATGCTTTTTAGCACTAACTAAACTTGCACCCGAACAGAGAATGCTAAATTTAGTTGAACTTTTTATCGTCATTACAATTTTCTTTACCAGTTTTGAGCTCCTACACTTAGTCTAAATCTACCAAATCTAGGTCTTAGTGCTTGAACCAAACGCAATCGTTTCCAAAATCACGAAGCTTGAGCAATAACCGCGTGTCCAAAACTCGTTTAAGAACTACATTGACTTGGACCAGTACAATCAACTTCATTCCCTTCTCATTCCACAAGCAACAAACCCAAGCAATTCGATTTGAACGTTCCAGGTGAAGGACATCTGCGACGACCTGGAGGTGCGCTCGCTGTGCCACAAGATCCTCCAGAACGTGTGCATGCTCCTCAACGCCGACAGGGGCTCGTTGTTTCTAGTCGAAGGCGACAAGGGCGCCGACGGTTGCGGGACCGCGGCCGGTCTGCCGCGCAGCGACCGCTGCCTGGTCTCCAAGCTGTTCGACGTCTGCTCGAAGAGCACGCTGATGGAGATCGAGAAAAAGGAGGAGATCAAGATCCCCTTGGGGACGGGGATCGTCGGGTACGTCGCCGAGAGCGGCGAGCCCGTCAACATTCCCGACGCCTATCAGGTACATTTCTTAGCTTCCACCAGGTGCTGATGGTGCGAATTAACTACAGGTGTTAATTTGGATTTAGCAACGCAAATTTCCAAGTAATTAATCGTTATGTAATTGCCCGTTTTCGCGATTATTGCACATTGTTTGGAATTCGTTTATCGTAGTATTTTTTAGTGCCCGTGAACGTAAACAAATAAACGGGCGGTTAGTCAGCGGTTTTCCTACACAATGCGGGGGGGTCTACCGGAAAATCTAAAACCAATTACCCGCCGTTTATAATTGCTTTAATTGCGCCATTACTGCTCCTGAAAATGGCGCGCTTCATCGGCGAATGCGCGGCGAATATTTATTTTTATTTAAGCCCATCCGCGATGAATTATTGTCGTTGATCGATTACGAAACGTTCGATTTAATGGTAACAAAAGTCGTTGTCTAATTAATTATACGTTGTTTTTCCGATTACCTTTACTAAAGCGACAATAACATCGTTTGTTGCGTAAGAATAATACCGCGAAAACTAATTAATAAATGACGTTTCAATGGAGTCCTGGACAAAATGACCTGTTCCTCTATAAACAGTTAAAACTGCAAAAACATAATTCTGTTATTACAGGACGAACGGTTTAATAACGAAGTGGATACCCGGACAGGATACCGAACAAAATCATTATTGTGCATGCCCATCAAAGACACCAATGGCGATGTCATAGGAGTCGCCCAAGTAAGTGAAGTGCATAATTTATCAACGCCTTATTCAATTTAACATTCGTATAAGAAGTATGGGTGGTCTCACCTTCATTTACAGCGTTATTTATCGCTAATATGGAGAAAAATATTTAGATGCAAGCAATAAATCTTGATTAAACCAACTCAACACCACATCAACTCTACTATAGTGTAAATTCCTTTAGGTAATCAACAAATTCGGGGACCAGCCGTTCTCCAAGGTGGACGAAGAAGTATTCTCCAAGTACCTCCAGTTCTGCGGCATCGGCCTGCGGAACGCGCACCTCTACGAGCAGTCGCAGCTGGAGATCAAGCGCAACCAAGTGCTGTTAGATTTGGCGAGGGTGATATTCCAGGAGCAGACCACGCTGGAGCACGTCGTGTATAGGATACTGTTGCACACGCAGAGTCTGATACAATGCCAAAGGGTGCAGATCCTGCTGACGCACCAGGATTCCAGCGCGAGTTTCTCCAGGGTGTTCGATTTCGAAGAGAACGATGTGAACATCATCGAGTCCGGCGAGAACAGGACAAGGTAAATTCGTTTTGCTTCGAGTTTGCGTTTTTTTTTATCAGCTATAACTTCGTTTTTAGTCCTTTGGAGGGACGATTTCCTATAAACCTAGGCATCACCGGACACGTAGCCACCACCGGCGAGGTGATTATTCACATTCTTTTGTACCAAACCTCCAAGTCTTCTTCCAACTACCCGATTCTATTTCATTACAGACGGTGAACATATCGAACGTCTACGAGGACTCGAGATTCGATCCGGTCTCGGACCACGGCACCAATTTCACGCACAAAAACGTCCTCTGCATGCCGATCAGGAACTCCAAGCACAGGATCATCGGCGTCATACAATTGATCAACAAGTTCAACGATCTGCCGTTCACGCAGAACGACGAGAACTTCGTGGAGGCGTTCGCGATATTCTGCGGAATGGGCATACACAACACCAGGATATACGAGGAGGCCACCACCGCTGTGGCCAAGCAGAAGGTCATCTTGGACGTGCTGTCCTATCACGCCACCGCCACCGTCGAGGAGGCGCAGAAGTTAAGAGTAAGATACCCTTTAATCCAGATGGAACTTTCTTTGCATTACATTTTCTCCTTTAAAAGGGTTTAAGGGTGCCTTCGAATGCTAAATTCAAACTGCTCGAGTTCACCTTCGATGATATCCATATGAGCGATGATGATACTTTGGTGGTGAGTGTTTGCACTGGTGATTATTCTTGTTAGCTTCTTCTTATCGACGATTGTTATAGGCTTGTTTGCGCATGTTCCTCGATCTGGGTCTAGTGGAGAAGTTCCATTTGGATTTCGATGTTTTGTGCAGATGGTTGCTCTCGGTGAAGAAGAATTATCGAGATGTAACGTATCATAATTGGAGGCACGCTTTCAATGTGGGACAAATGATGTATTCGATATTACATGTAAGTAACCTAAAATCGAGATCATCTTTCAATATAAAATGGCGCGTTTTATAGGCGACCCGATGGTGGGAATACTTGGGCATCATCGAATGCTTAGCGTTGATGATCGCCTGCCTGTGCCACGATTTGGACCACAGGGGAACCAACAATTCCTTCCAAATGAAGTAAGCAGCAAATACTTTGATCCAGTTCAATATTTTACACTTTCTTTCAATAGAATCCATTCGCCCATTGCGCAACTTTACTCCACATCGACGATGGAACACCACCACTTCGACCAATGCTTGATGATCTTGAATTCGCTGCAGTTACTCATCAATCTCACGCCAGAGGAACATTCCAGAGTCATTAGGGTATTAGAAGACGCCATATTGGCCACCGATCTGGCCATTTACTTCAAGTAAGCTATTCGCCACAAATGACCAAAGATCTACACCAAATCTTTGACCAAACTTACATCAGACCTACACTAAATCAAGACTTAAACTTTCGCCAAATATGCACCAAAGCAAGACCAAATCTTTGACTAAACCTCCACCAAACCAAGTCCAAATCTTTGACCAAACTTCCACCAGACCATGTTCAGAATAATACCAAACTCGCACCAAACCAAGACGATATCTTTGACCAAACTTACACGCCAGACCTAGACCTATGCAGGTGACCTACCCGGTGTTAAAGTAGTGTTGATATTGATCGGCAGGAAGCGCGTGGACTTTTTCAAAATAGCTCGGTGCGGAGTGAATTGGAAGAAGGAGGAGCACCGCGATTCTGTTCGCGGCATGCTGATGACAGTCTGTGATTTAGCGGCCATAACGAAACCGTGGGACGTCGAGAAGCGCATAGCGGAATTGGTCAGCGCCGAATTTTTCGAACAGGGCGACCTGGAGAGGGAGAAACTCAACGTCACGCCAATGGTGAGCTCGAAATAATTTATATAACTTTCGATACGTTGTACTGGCCGGCACGCTCGCCAGACGTTGCGCCTATCTCACTATAACCGTACAAAATTCACTTCATTTACCGATGGAAATGTTAATTAACGTTAATAGAGAGTGGTAATTCGATTTTTCATTTGGACTACAATTTCCATTTTCAGGATATGATGGACAGGAATAAAGCCGAGCGATTACCAATTATGCAAATTAACTTTATCGATTCCATCTGCGTACCGATATACGAGGTGAGTGGTCTATACCCTTTGTATTCTGATTCTGTCACACGTAAACGGATTATTCACTGTAATTGATGAAAAACCCTACTTCAATTAGTATCTATTATTAGCTCGTAATATAATCAATCAAATAGTAGCTCTTGCAGGGATATATACACTTAATTTCATATTAAATTCAAGCGCATAAAATACCCAATCGCTTATCCGGTGAAACAGCAACACTTGCCGCATTAAATATGTTTGATTTTGTATGAAATTTGCAGGCATTCGCCGAGCTCTCGGACAGCCTGCAACCGTTGCTAGACGGCGTGAAGGACAACAGGGAGCACTGGCTGGAGGAGGCCCAGAAGGCCCATTTGATGCCCCGAGAGGACGATTGCGAGAAGGACGACAACGATAACCTGTCGAAGCCGAACAGCCCCGATCAGAAATACGCGAGGATCAAAAATCGCAAGGCGATCGCTAATTGACGATTTCTCGACGAATGATAATTCCGAAACGCTTTACTGAACGTGTATTAAATTTAAAGTGAGATATTAATTTAGTGATTTATTAGCGAAGAAATTGTACTTATACCCGCTGGAGATGATTGAACGGACGGACTGGAACACGACTAATATTTTCTTGAAGCTTCGATGAGTCGTTGTATAGTGTTAGGATTAAGTGCTGGATTTCTCTGAAATTGTACCATCAATAAATCAAATAATCGTTAATGTTTCAATTTGACGCAATGCGGCGAAGCCATTTTTGAAAATATGTATCTCAAAATTCCTGACAAATATAAATAAAAGGACCAATTGTTTTATGGCGCTTTTACTACGACTCGTTAACACCTGTCTTTAATTGAATTGTTATCATTTGGTAGAAACTAATTTATTGCAAGTATTGTTTAATTTAGCTCTCTTAGTAATTTAATATTTAAATTGTGTTTGTGATATTTTTAGTCCCACCAACTGAGCTCTGGTTCGGTTTAGCACTGTTCCGTTTTTCGCTTTTTTTAAGATGGTATTACGATTTTAATTTGAACCAAAGCGTATTCTAATTTTATTAGCGTAATTAATCAATCATTGTGTAATCTTAATTTTTAAATTAAAAAAAACAAGTAAAATATAGTGATATTGTGATTGTTCTTGTTGTTTTTTTTAGTTACATTTTCTCTCTTATTGTTGAATTGACTTTTGTAAGATTATGCGAAATGACCAGAATAAATATATTTATTAGTCGAATTATATAGCGTTTTAATTTTTGTTTACAGAAAAATGTATACTTTATTTACAATATAAAAAAAATCAATTATTAATTTAGAAAAATAATCCAGCATTTTCGTGCCACATTTTTTTCATTCTCTGCGCAAAATCGCGTAATATATCACTCATTGTGAGATCTTCTTTTTGCGTTTGTAAGGTATTTATTGGCAAATCTTCATGACCCGTTTCCATCGGCCTTTTAAGTCCATTAAATATATCTTTTATTAATCCACCCAGGCTCAAGATACCGCCATTTGTATCACTCTCTCCATTAGGTCCTTCAACTATTTCCCCTTCTTTCGGTCCATCTGGATAGTGTGGTAGATCTCCTATCATATTAGGTTCATTAAAGTGTCCTCTTCTTGGTCCTTTAATGAATTCTTCATTAATTGGACCACCTAGATTAGGCCTATGAATATTCATACCACCTTGTGTGTGAGGTGGATTAAATATTTCTTCCCTTTTTGGTCCATCTCGATAGTGGTGAGTACCAAAGTTCATATCGTTAGGTCTTCTGTTTGGGCCACTTAATTCTTCATTTATTGAACCACCTAGATTAGGCCTATGAATATGGTTACCACCCTCTGTGTGTGGTTCTTTAAATATTTCTTCTTTGTTTGGTCCATCATAATAGGAATGGGTACCAAAATTCCTGTCGTTCTCTCTGTTAGGTCCATTAAATAATTGCCCTCTGTTTGGTTGTTCATTTATTGGACCACCTAGATTGGAATTACCGAAATGTGTACCACCGTGTCTATGAGGTGCTTTAAATGTTTCTTCTTTTTTTGATCCATCATGATAGGAATGAGTACCAAAATTCATATCGTTCTCTCTGTTAGGTCCATTAAATAATTGTCCTCTGTTTGGTTCATTTATTGGACCACCTAGATTGGAATTACCAAAATGTGTGTGAGGAGCATTAAATAGTTCTTCTTTTTTTGGTCCACCTAGATCGAAAACCGGTCCACCTGAGCTCCCTTTAAAATCATGATGAATATTTTTATGTTCTTGGATCGATTGGGTTTGTTCATTTGGTGAAGGATTATTTCCAAATACACGATTAATTGCTTCATGCAGTTCATCACCACTACCTTTCTTGGGGGAGTCTTTACTTCCAAATATTTCGCTAATGGTGCTGTCCAAATCATCTGTATTTTTGAACGAATCTGAACTGGATTTATCGATGATGATCGGTTTCGGCGTTTCCACCGCCGGTTTTAAATTATCCGCGCTAAAAGGATCTTTAGCATCATCGTCCTGCGTATTCAAGTCCTTCAAAAACTCCTGGAACTGCTCGTCGTAATCGCTTTTAGACACAGCACGTTTGTACAGCGGAGAAGATGGGGCTTCAGTGGTTTCTTTTCCCAAATACACGAGTAATGCGAGTGTTAAGAGCAGCTGTTGCTGAAACTGGAAATACTGCCGTTTTTATGCGGTCTCACTACATTTCGACATTCAATTAAATACCTCTCGAAGATACCACGAATGCTTTTGGAATGTGAAAGTAATAACATTATAAATCTATAGCTACTCAATTACTGTTAATTAGATTTTAAGCGAGTCCACTAGGACGAATGCAATGATCCCCAAACAAGATTTTTTTTCGGAAATTACCTAACCAGTTCCATCGAACACCCTGTATTCGTGAAAGCCGTGACCTCCCGCATTATCTACACGCCCAATTAAATTTAAATTCGTTTCGCATTTATCTAAATCGCTTTCGATAAAGCCGAAAATTACTCACACACAACGTTTACTCGAACGGTATTTATTGTTAAGTATACAGAGCTCTTAATAACAATCGAAATCATTTAGGAAATGTACTCGTTAGTAGTTCCAATGGTGGTAGGCGTGGCCGTGGTGGTGGCCGAATATGTGATGGGGTAGAAGGCGCCACAAATGGAGGTGGTGATGAGGGAACCAGTCGAAACTGTGGAACCCGATGGGCAGAATGTTCGGATTCGCCACCGGCGCGGACGATATGTAGCCGGGTAGAGCGACCAGAATGACCAACAAACAGAACATCTGAAATTAAATTGCATGATTAATCGATTAGAATCGGGTGAAATACTCGGATACGTTCTTCTTATTTGGTTGAATCGAATTTGAAACTTGGTCGAATAGCCCCGGCAATTGAGACCTTAATGAAAGGAAAAGAAGGAGTACTTGAAAACTTGCCTAAATATACCTACATACAAGTCCGAAAAAAATGTAGAAGATGAATAACAAGTTAATTAGGCACGTTTCATAAATTTGTTTATCGCGTATAAAAATAAAATTACACCGTCATAAACAAGTAGGTATTTCCTAGGCCCGAGATTTTTATCAAATATGAATAAAGGGGATTTAAAACCGATAAGTATTAATTTCTACTAATCGTTATCGAAGATGTGTGTTGGTAAACGAGATAAAATTGTTTATATTACACTTAAATACAACGTTTGATTGTTTTAAATCTTTATCAAGCTTTTGTATCGAATTAATAAAAATTAGTAAATGTTCCAGATTTATTAAGCAAATAAACGATAACTTACCGTTAACTTCGCCATTTTATTTTTCTTTCGAGGGTCTCCAAAAAGCGTCAATCACAAATACGAATTATTTATTTTTATTTTAAAATTTCGTTCGGGTTTAGTATTTATACGATTTCTAAAAGGAAGTCGTTTTGGGTAATGGACATTTACATTATCGTTCAAAGAAATCCTCTCTTAATTAGTTAATAATCGTTTCCATTTACCTGCTTATTCCAAATAATAGGAAACGTGTGAAAATATTCCAAATTTTACGAATTAAAGAGAAAAGGGGGTAATGTGACCCAGCTATTTTGGAGAAGTTAATCCAATTAAAATCTACTCTTATTTATCAATGAGAATTCATACTTTTACTCTGATAAAAACACGTATATAACCAATAAAATAGTAAGAAATAAAAATTATAAAGTAGTACTTGCCTCGAAACCACTCGAAAAAAACTTCTCGATAAAGATATTGAGAAGTCTATCAGGATAAAATATCTATAGAAATTTAGGTATGGTTAGGTTTCTATATCTATCTGCACTTCTTCATTATTGGGTAACTAAACTGCAGATGAAGATGAAGACGCAGATAATGAATATGTAGATGATTAGTAAAGACATTGAGAACCCTAACAGGATAAAAAATTAATAGATATTTAGGTATCTTTGGATTGTTTATGTTTGGATGTTAGGATTGTTTAGGTTTCTATATCTACCTGCTCTTCCTCATTTTTGGGTAACTAAACTACAGATATAGATGAAGGCGCAGAAGATGAATATGTAGAAGATGAGTAAAGACATTCAGAAGTCTAACAAGATAAAGAATCTGTTGAGATTTAGGTATGTTTAGCTTTCTAACGTTTCTATCTGTTGCTCTTTCTCATCTTTGAGTAACTTCAGATGAAGATGAAGGTATAGAAAATAATTATGTAGAAGTGTAGAAAATGAAAGATCTCTCTCTAAATGATCTTTCAGTAGATCATTCCAACTTTCTTGAGAACATCTCTTATTGCATTTCTCAAAGCAATGAACGGCCATCAATCAAGGATCTGATAGGACAATCAATAGTCGAAAATTCTGTGAATGTCTCTTTTTGTATTGACGATGTTCCAATAGGAACACACCCTGTATGGAATGAAATTAATATCAAACGGATTAGATATCTTAATAAAGTTGCCATTAACCTCTAATTAAAGGCGATTATTCGAGCGATTTGCGATAAAATCCGTTTGGCGTCATGTCACACGGAGAACAAACACCAGAGATGTCATCAGAACGTTGGCGCGTATTCGCGGGGAAAAAACCGATTGTCAGATATGGCAAATGTACTTCACTCTATTGTATTATCAATTTAATATGAAGTATTTTTTTCCAATGTCTGCGATATTTCGCGATTATTTATTGAGCACTTTTGTACAATCGAAATTTATTGTCGTCTCAACAGTGGTTGTTAGAACGTTTGTGGTTCTCTGTGGTACCGATAAATTCCGAAAATGGACGCTATTTATTTACCCACGGTGGTACCGTTACCAATACCCGAAGAAGAGCTTGTTGATTTAGTCAAAAAAGGTAAACGGGTAAATTTATATTCAACGAGAAAGTTAGGGGGTTGTTCTAATTTCTATTTTCAAGAAAATTTGCTAAAAACGTATCAAAAGTACAGTAGAAGCTCTTGATTGAAACTAATAGATACATTAAACATATTTTTATTTAAAATATCTATATATTTTCCAAGATTTTTTAAACAAAAATTTTGTACCTAATAAATTATATACATTTACAAGGAAATATTTACGATAAGGAATGATTAAGGAAACAAATAACGATATAAAAAAATGTCGACCTAAATACCAATTACAAAAATTACCCTAAATATTTCACAATTGTATCTTTTATCTTAAGCATGTACCTATGTACGTAGAAATTAGCTAAATATACTGATTAAAAGTATTGATATGTATCAAAAACAATCTGTATTATCATGTTATAAAAAAACAACAACCGTTTTAAGTGGATTATTTATCAGTAAGTAGCATGTAATTGAAAATTTCTCTTGAAACATCTGGAGTTGCTCAAGTAGGCAGCATTTTCTATCTAAACTAAAACCAAATATTTCCTCTAAGATCTAATTTAACAAGAGAAATAAATGGATCATCTCTTCCACTTTCTCCATATTCCTTTTATGCAAAAGGATTCTTCAATATTTCTACTGCATATATTGTATTTCCTACACACTTTAAATCACTTTTGAATTGATTATTGGTTTGTAATCGACAGGCAAAGATTGGGCGATAATGCACGGAGCTTCGATGAGATCCAAGACGAAGTTCTCCGAAGACAACATAAATTTCGCGCCTTTCGTTCTCCTGCCATCGACGATGACCCAGAGGAATTACCGGCGCGCCTTGGAATTGCAAACCATCTTCCAGGAGCTGGTCCACAAAGTGGCCTACGACCACGAGTTCCTCGAGCACTGCCTGAGCAACACCGTCAAAGTCGACGATTTCACCGGCAGATTGTGGAGCATCTACGAAATGGTGCACAAGGAAGGCGTCGCCCAAGTACTACATTTATTTATTTATTGAACGTACGAGTATATGATTTGCAATTATACATTGCAGCCAATCGCCTTGGGTTTGCTGAGGTGCGATTATATGTTGGAAACTTGCGATAAAGAACGAAAAAATAAACGAAGAAATTCGAATACATACCCCACCTGCGAATGGAAACTCGTGGAAGTTAATACAATTGCAGCTGGTTTCGGTTGGTTAGGACCAGCTTCTAGGCTCATACAAAAGTAAGGATATTGCCTTATCTATAATTGTTCTAGAGCTCTACTGAAGCTCCTCGAATGAGCACCAATAGCAGGTATTAATTCTAACTCATTTCTCTCAGATACATAATGGAAGAAATGAACCTCCACGATAAAATACCAAGGGTAAGTAATGATAGGAAACGCGGCAAATTTCGAACTTTACCAGAAATCCTCCGTAGCTTCCCGAAAACAACGCTCTAGCCGGACTCTGCCAAGGCATGCTGGACGCTTGGAAATTATACGGCAATCCCAAAGGTTGCATACTGATTGTGATCGAGGACGTTTCCTACAACATATGCGACCAAAGGTTCCACCAATTCCAACTCAGAGAGATGAATCCGAACGTCAAGGTACTCAGAAAAACGCTCACTCAAATCGGCAACGAGGCCGTCTTAAACCCCAAAAAGGAACTGACCATGTAAGTTAAATCAACTTCTTTGATATATTTATAGTAAGAAAATCTCTGTAATTGATTCAGAAACGGCGACGTTGTCAGCGTGGTGTACTTCAGAAGCGGCTACGAACCGGTCCAATACCACGGCCAGAACGAATGGGACGCCCGATTACTAATAGAAAGGTACCACGTTCCCTTCATTATCCATTCAATTTTCGAAAGCGGCGTCAGTACATTGCAGGTCCAAAGCCATCAAATGCCCCAACATCAACTACCACCTGGCCGGCTGCAAGAAAGTCCAACAGGAATTGGCCAAGGAAGGCGTCATCGAAAACTACATCACCGACGAAGAACAGGCCAAATTGATCCGGGACGCCTACGTGGGCATCTACGGACTGGACTTGGACGAAGAGGGCGATCGGGCGGTCGAGCTGGCATTGAAACAACCCGAAAAGTAAGTGAACAAAATCGAATAAAACCCAAACCAATTACTTGCATCATCTAGAAGGGGCACTACCATTACCATTACCCAGAAGTGATTGTTAATGGAATACTTCTAGGGTTCTATTAACTGCACCGAAAACTGAAGCTGTTTTAGAAGCTTCTTAATAACGTTTTGTATGTTATAGGTATGTTCTTAAGCCGCAAAGAGAAGGTGGAGGGAACAACATTTACGGCACTGAAATCAAGAGTGCGCTGTTGGAAATGAAAGACAGCCAGGAGAGGACGGCGTGGATATTAATGGAGAGGATATTCCCGCCGATTAGTAAGGGTTATATGGTTAGACCGGACCAGCCGGTGCCGCCTGCCATAATGGAGATGGTCTCGGAGTTCGGGATATTCGGAGTCATCATAGGGTGAGCGCGGATTGCTCGGATTGTCGTTGGTATAATTTCGTTTTTGTAGGGATTCGGAAAGGATAATGAATAACGAGCAAGTGGGGCATATGCTGAGGACGAAAGTAGCGACGGCGAATGAAGGAGGCGTCGCGGCGGGCCTGGGAGCTTTGGATAGTCCTTATTTGATAGATTAATTGAAACAATTAATGCGAAAAATAATAATAAAATGTCGTGTAATCTATAAGCTTTAAAATTATTTTTTTGCTTTAAAAACTACGTTTATTACTAATTTATTATATCTAATATATATTATAAATAAAATGTACTATTTTACCAAAGAACTGCTTTTTATTTATTATTCATACTGTGAATCAATCAGGAAAAAGGCCACCAACAGCCAACTCAATACAGGACGAGGCCATAAAAAAAGGAGAATAAAAACACTTCATGGTTGTCTTACAACTTACAATTTCCGTTTAAAATTGAAATAATTGTAACAAGATCCACACTACCTAATATTATTGTTAATTTCGTAAATTAATTGTAAAAAAATAATCAAAAGACTAATAAAAAAAGAAGACATTTTCAAATGACAGTGACAACTGTCAGAGAGCAAACTTAACCAAGTAATTTATGTTATGAGACTTATGAGTTCGAGTTTTTGTTTACATACAATTACAATTGAGATATATTTGAGCGAGTATTTGCAATGGGTCGTCCGAAGAACGTGCCAAAGAAAAGAAAAAATGAAACACTCGAGGCGCCCAACTTTTACTTGGATTACACGCCGGCTTTCAAAAAAAGGCGAAAATCTCAGGGGGCTTTCAGCAAATCCTCCACCATTTTCTACGTAAACGACATTTCCGAACAGTATTTTATAGGAAAATTATTGCTAGGAAGTACGAATAACATTTTACCTAAAGACTCGAAGCAAGCGAAAGTTTCATTTAAGCCTGCTGATGATTCCGAACATTCCGATAATGAATTTATGATTGTAACTGATGATGCGGTTACAGCAGTAATTAAATGTGATATAGATATAAGTTTAATCAAAGGTGCGTTTATGTAGCCAACTTTACCGATCGAGTCTCTAATTTTTATATGTTTCAGAAATTATTAATTGTAAGATGTTTGTTTTCAATTTCACTTCGCACGAAGAAAATATATACTTACATATTTATTTCAAAACATTACCACTGCCAAAATTCTACCCGAAGCTCGGCAATACCATCAAAACGCTATTCGGATTGTTTCACAATATCGTTCTAAAAGAAGGTAATTGTTAAAAAAATATTCTATTAACACCTAAACGTATCATGTGAAATTATTTTAGATAAATCAGATAAAAGGAAATCTCATCATGTTTCCGAAATAACAGCTTTGTACGATAACCTCGTAAAATTAAGAAAAAACAATCTGGCAACCCCGGAAAATCTCCAGCACGAAGATTTGGTACCCACTTTAAGACCCTATCAAGAAGATTCCATTAAATGGATGCTACAACGCGAGAAAAACAACAACAATCACAACATAGGTACATAAAAAAATAAAAAAAAATCTTGTACAAATGAGGTGTTTCAGATAAAATCCATCCCCTGTACATCGAATTGAAACTGAGCTCCGGATTACCCGTGTACTTTGATAAATACTCTGGGTACATTACAAATGAAAGACCCCTCGTATCTCCAACTAGCAAAGGTGGGATTCTAGCAGATGAAATGGGATTGGGTAAAACAGTGGAGGTACTAGCTTGTATTTTACTCAATCAAAAATCAGTCGAATTAGAAGAACCGTCAGCTCCCGAAGAAGAAGGAGAAGAAGCTTCAAGTGAAAACGAGTTAGACAATGTACCGTTAATCGAAAGAATATCAGCTTCAAATGGTGAATCGAGTAGTAGAACGAAACAGAACACAAGAAGACCTGCAGACACCGATAAGACTCCTCAAGGAAAAAGCTCTAATAGAGTAGCCCTGGAAAAATGGTACAACTCGATTCTATCCAGCATGAGCCCGGTCAAACGAACAGTAAAAGGCCCAAACGAAATAGTAGTTCAGTGCATTTGCGGTAACACCGACAAAGACGGCATAATAAAATGCAAAACGTGCCCCAAATATCAACATAAAAAATGTTTCGCTTACGAAAAATCATTAGGTAACATTCTATTCCCTTCGAATTATTATTATCAACGAATAAATTTATTCCAGGTGTATATTTGTGCCCTCAATGTTGGATGGAAAAGCCACTATTGCAATCCAAAGCTACCTTAATAGTAACACCGGCTTCCTTAAAAACGCAATGGTACAAAGAAATCGCCAAACACGTAAAAGGCCACTTCAAGGTTCTGCAATACGAAGGGGCCACCTCCACTCCCGTTTATCCCACGCAACTGCGAACCTACGACGTGGTCCTAACCACCTACAACGTATTACAAAACGAGCTTCGACTCACCGAAACAACCAAAGTAAAATTAATCATAAAGTTAATAGAATTAATCATCATCTACGTACGTTCAAACTCTTAGCTAATGACCCTTTTTGGGTTGGTTTAAGGTGTTCAATTTGAGGCACGAAAGGACCTATTCGCCCCCATCGAGCGTCCTGACCAGGCTGAACTGGTGGAGATTGTGCCTGGACGAGGCGCAAGCGGTCGACGCGCCGGGACGCATGGTCTCCGAAATGGCGAGGAAAATCGACGCCGACCACCGATGGGCCGTCACCGGTACGCCCATATCCAAAACCGTATCCGGTAAATACTTTTAATCGACCGTTCGATTTCACACTAAACTCCTATGTTATGTTATGTGCGCAGATTTGCAGGGATTGATCGATTATCTGCAGATAACCCCGTACAACGATGTGATTACTTGGGATAAGGTACTCTACGAGCCCTATTTGAACGGGAATCAAGAGCCTATGTTGGGATTTTTGAGCGAAATCCTTTGGAGGACCGCTAAGAAGGATGTGTTAGATCAAGTGAGATTTTATCGATAGTGCTACAAAATAATAATCCCTTACAGGAATCCCAGCCAAAAGATTAAAAGAGCAGAATGGAGTAGAGTAGATTATAATAGAAAGGAGCGGAGTCGAGTAGAAAGGAGTAAAGTAGAGTAGAAATGAGCAAAGCAGAGCAGAAACGAGCAAAGCAGAGCAAATCAAAGCAGAGCAAAGCAGAGCAGACCAGCGTAGAGTAGAGTAGAATAGAGTGTAGAGTGTAGGGTAGTGTGTGTAATAGTCATTACAATCGTTACCTGATTGTTATGCTCCGTTTTTAGATAAACATACCGAAGTTAACCTACCTGGAGCACAGTTTGGAATTCTCGGCGGTGGAAAAGTTCTTCTACAAGCGCGAGCACCAGTTGATATCGGCGGATTTCCTGCGGAAGGTCGGAGCGTACGAGCGAAATTCGGGCCGTTCGATCTACGATTTGAGCCTGGAGAGTTTGGATAAGAGTTTTTTGAAGAAAGTACGGCGTACTAAACTGATCTTCGATGAATTGAATAGGTGATTATCGATTTGATTGCAGCTGTTGGATCCTCTGTTGAATTTGAGGCGCAACTGCAGCTACCCGCACACGTCGAGAGGCCGGTACTTGCTCACGAAGAAGCAGGTGACGTCTTTGAAGGAGCTATTGGACGCTCTCATCGCGAAGAACATAAGCGATAGCGAGGATTGCCTGAGATTGATCGTGTCGTCTTTAAACGGTCGGTGGAATCCCCGCCGCTTTAACTTTACACGCAAATTTTATACGTTTGTTTTAGGCGTCTCGGGGATACATTTGTTGTTGCAAAACCACCAGGAAGCGGTGGATAAATACAGGGAAGTGTTGCAATTGGCCGCGAGATTCAGCGATAGAAACAACGAGGCTAAATTGAACGTCGACAAGCCGCAAGTCATACACGCCATGCACAATTTAGCGGAAATTTTGGACGGTTTCGTCCCCGCACAGCCCACTTTGAGGGACGCGGAGCTGCGAAGGGATTGCGCTGTGTTAGAAAAGACCTACATGGAGAAGTTTATCGGCGAGGTATTCGATTTTACGATGCGATTTTATAGCGAATGATAGCGAGTTGTTGCAGTGTACCAACGCTTATACTTCTTTCAATGCTTTGATGGAGAATATCGAGAAGATGCAAGACGATTTCGCGCTGAACGAAGGCCAATGGTATTCGGACGGGTTGAATTGGATAGTAGCCAATGATTATTTTCACGAATTGACGAGTAAAATCGAGACAGTTTGCGCGAATTCGTCTGTAGATAACACAATGAGGTAATACAATGAGAGTGGAAATTGAACAGTAGAGAGTAAAGAGTAGAAAGTTGTAATAAGAGAGTAGAGCGTAAGGAGCAACGAGTAAAGAGTCGGAAAGTAGAGATTAAAGAGAATAGAGTAGCAATTGGAGAGTAAAAAGTGAAGAGTAAAGAGAATAGAGTAGCAATTGGAGAGTAAAGAGAATGGAGTAGAGAGTAAAGGCATTTTATTTTCTGTATTTGATCTTTATTCATTCGATCGTAGGAACTCCAACGAGCGTACGATATTAAAGCTCATCTACAATTGGGACGATAATCTGTCGAAATATCGAATCAAGCTGTTCGAAGCCGTGCGAAATTTGTACGATTTGAAACGCGAAAGCGAAGAGGAGCCGAAGAAGATCGTCGTGCGAGAGGGAACGGTCGCGAAGGCGATGAATTGTCATTTGAGGCCGCAAAAGAAAGCCGATAAAGGCGAAAGTCGATCGAAATGCGACGTTTGCGCGGCTAACGAACGCCTCAAGAAGTACGAGGCCACTTTGTTCAACGTGCTGAAGAGGAAGTATACCTTCGAGGAGGACATGTCGCTGACGGGTAACTGGAAACCCACCTACCAGGAGTTGGTTTTGAAATGTAATTATTTGTACGAAGGCGAGGCGAAAAGTTTTCGGTCTGACGACGAAACACCGCGATTTTCAATTGAAAAATTTAGTTCTAGATAGTTCTAGATGATTCTGGAGCGTTCTAAATGGTCCTGAAGTGTTCTAAATGGTTTTAGACAGTTCTAAATGATTCTGGGGCGTTCCAAACAGTTCCAATTGATTTTGGACCGTTCTAAATGACTATGGAGCGTTCTAAATGGTTCTAGATAGTTCAATGATTTAGGCCGAGAACTTTTCACCGTACCCTCGTAGACTTCATATTTGTAAAAGATGGGTAATTTGCTATAATTTTAGCTATATTGTCGGTGTTGCGAAGCAAAAACGCACAGCAGGAGTTTGTTAAAGACGGCGAGCTTCAATTGAATCTAATCGATAATCTAAAGAAGGAGTTTAAAGTATAACATATCACAAGAAACTTAACGATTCGTGTGTGTAATTTTGCATTTTCTTTAGGAATTGAGACGTCTGTGGACGCTCTTAGACCAGCAAGTTTGCGCCAAAGACGAATTGGACATCTGCAAGATTCGCTTCCAGTTGAAAACCGAAGAAGAGAAGAAGAAAGTCAACAGTGCTTTAAAGCAGTTAATGGACGTTGAATCGTCACAGCCTACGCTAAATTTGTTGAGCGTACACGAGGTAAATTATAAAAAAAATAATCGCTAAATTTGCGTACAAATTGATCCTGTTTATAGCTCGATTATCACCTGTCTTTGCTGGAAAACGAGGCCAAATTGAATTCCGATAAACTAGAGAAGCTTTTGGGCACCCTAAATTATCTCGAAACGCTGAGGAAACAACAATACGAAGGACAACAGCCCGATCCTTGTCCCATATGTAAAAACGATTTGAAATGCCACTGGAGCATATTGTTGTGCGGCCACAGCTACTGCTTGGAATGCATCGAAATTCTTCTAGATCAGGTAAAAAATCCTACGAAATCACTGAAAATCCTCAACTTCTGAGAAAATACAATCTCCTGCACACCATGTTGCCTATCTAGCAGGTGCAAAACACTAAAATATGCATTAAAAACCTCAAATTTTGAAGAACTACAACCTCCTGTACACCATGTTGCCTATCTAGCAGGTGCAAAGAACTAAAATATGTATTAAAAACCTCAACTTCAGAAGAAATACAATCTCCTATACACCATGTTGCCTATCTATCAGGCGCAAATGTCTAAATTATGTATTTTCAGTCGGCTAAATGCACTATACAATGCTCCATATGCAGAAACAGGCAAAAAGTGGCGGAAATATCCTACATAAAAACCGGTGTTACATCGAAAGAAGCCGATTCTACGGCAATAGAAGGCAATTATTCGACGAAAATCGAAGCGGTGGTGAGATTGCTGGTCGATTTGAAGAAAGAGGACAAAAACGCGAAAGTTCTGGTCTTCTCTTGTTGGCTCACCATTCTAAAATGTTTGAAGGAAGCTCTATTGAAGAATTCCGTATCGTGCGAATTGCCTGTGGGAGGTCAATTGGACGAGAAAATAAACAATTTCAAAGTAAATATCAATTAAATCGTACAGTAAATATAACAAATTTGATAATAATTCGTTCTGTAGGATCCAAAGAAAAACATTACAGTTTTACTATTACCTATCAATTTAGGTTCGAAAGGCCTGAATTTGATCGAAGCCAATAGAATCATATTGATCGAACCCGTTTTGAATCCGGCCGATGAATTGCAAGCCATCGGTAGAATTAACCGTATCGGACAAACGAGGTATTTACAAATACATTAAATTAATCAATGCGTCTGAAATGTTAACGTTTCAGGCAAACCTATGTGCACAAATTCGTCATTAAAAATACGATAGAAGAAAACATCCATCTCGCGACCACTTCTAACGCCGACAATTGGGATAAAAGTCGAGTAACCGTGAGGAATTTGGTGGATTTATTCAACACCACAGAGGAATTAGATGCTGTTGTTATCGCGCAGAATCCATCTCAATTGGATACCGAACGAGAAGAAGAAGAAGAAGAAGAAGAAGAAGAAGAAGAACAAGAACAAGAACAAGAAGAAGAAACTGAATAAAATTCAGCAGTCTTCCTCGACTTAACAACTGGAGTCATGTTCTGATGTTACTAAATACTCTAAAGTTTCGATGTATATTTCATATAGAATCGAAAATAATTCGTACCGAATTCATATTTTGTAAATGCTGAAATAAAAGTAGATATTTTATAAAGTGAAAATAACATTTTATTGGTTGTTTTTGGTAGAAAATGGCTCGTTTATGGGTAGATGATTGACTCTCTTGGGTGTATAAATGACTCGTCGGTACTTAGACGATTCTCTTGGGCGTATAAATGACTCTTGACTGTATAAACGACTCTCTTAAGGATACAAATGACTCTCTTGGGTATATAAGCGTCTCCGTTGGGCGTATAAACGATTCTCTTGGGTACATAAATGACTCTTTTAGACATACAAATGGCTCATTCGGATGTACAAACGACTTTTGGGTATCTAAACGTTTTTCATGGGTACATAAATGACTCTTTAAGATTCACAAATGGCTCACTCGAATATGCAAATGACTCTTGAGTAGCTAAAACGATTTTCTTGTGGGTATAAACGATTCTCTTAGGTACATAAATGACTCTTTTAGACATACAGATGGCTCATTCGGATGTACAACGACTCTTGGGTATCTAAACGTTTTTTATGGGTAGGCATAAATGACTCTTTAAAATTCACAAATGGCTCACTCGGATATGCAAATGACTCTTGAGTAGCTAAAACGATTTTCTTGTGAATATAAACGATTTTCTTTGGTACTGGTACTGTCTTGGACGTATTAACAATGACTCTTAAATATACAAAATGGTTCTCTTGGGTATATAAACGACTCTCTTGGGCGTATAAACGATTTCTATGGTACATAAATGACTTTCTTGGGTACAAATAACTCTCTTTTGAGTTTCTAAACGATTCTCTTGGGTACATAAATGGTTCTCTTGGGTACATGAATTACTCTTGGACATCTAAACGATTCTTTTGGGTACATTAACGATTCTCTTGGGTATAACATAATGAGTTCCTATCCGACCATAAATAAAACCCCCTTTAAGCCAAACCGGTAATGGGAATATTACTGTCGTTTCGATTTGTTTGCGTTCTATATTTTCCTTTTTCGATAGATTTTTCCACCTCTCCCTCGTACAGAATCGAATTGCTCGCCGCAAGAACGACCGGGTATGGTTTCTTCGAGACCGCGAGCGCCAAGGCAGTCTCGAAATCGTCGAGCAAAGCGCGATCGCTGCGCTAGAAAACCCGGTAAAACCCCATCGAGAAATCCGTTTTGTTTGTAATGAAAATTGTGTAAGGTAAGAGGTTTTTATTTATAGAAATTTTGCGTCCGATTTGGTGGTCCTTTGAATAAATTATTTAATATTAATAATTTTTACGTAGATAATTAGTTATTTAATTGCAATTGGTTGCAGATGTTACATAAATTTAAAAAAGAATCGTCCTTAGTAACCTTGTAACTACTTACTTACATCAGTTATTAAATCAATAAATGTTATAGTTTGTATTAAATAACTGTAAAAATTCAAGTTGTATTTCGAGTTATTTTTCGATCCAATATCGACCTACTTTCCCAAAATTCGAATGCCCTTCTTACGAGATAAGCCTCTTTTATCGGCGCCTTATTTTTTTAACGAATCAATTAATTATTAAAGGATTATATTTGAATAAACTTAATTGGCTTAACAAATAATTGTATAATTATTGTTTATGTATCGTTAACAATTCAAATCTCTTTACAATGAGTAAACGCTGGGAAAACAAGTGCAAAAATTGCAGCGAAAACAACAATAAAATTGCACGTTGCATTTCTACTGGATGTTTTTGAGCGTGTCTAGACTACGTTTTGTTTTCTTTTTATTGATTACCTATTTTTCACGATACAAATGAGTCATATACTGCCATACCGCCCCCACGTTCGTGTGTAAACGAAATTTTTGTATTTATGAATTTTCCTAGCCATATTTGAACCGATACACTGCAAGTTTATCAATAATAATCGTATTGTTTCGGAACAAAAATCATTAAAAATGTTGTAATTGTTAATAATTAATAGACAATATAACTAAAAGACCCGATAAAATAGGGTAATTTATATCGAAAAATTCTACAAACTGTAACGCAAAAACTGTAAAAAATAGATATTTTTTCTGGCTAATATTGTGATTAAAGTTTTCCGGTAAGTAGGGCAATGGGAAAGAATCGACGGGCCATTTCGATTTCAATTAGTAGGGCAGGGTGTAACTAGGGTGAACGACTTTTTAACATAAAACGATGTCACAACTACACACGATAATGTGCGATGGTTTATCTGCTTTTATAACGGGAAATCGAGACGGGCCATCGATTTATTTACGTTTATCTACGCGTACAATAGGGTATCCGTTATTGTGGAAGATACGAGTAAAATAGGGCATATAAATAATAAACTAATTTAAATAAACTGTTCCAAAAAAGTTAAGGAAGTTCGCAAATTATGCGATTATTTTAAAAGTTACAGACTTTTTGACCACCAAATTTTCAAATATGCGAAATTAAATATGTTTTCTCTCATATGTGAGTGGATTTTTTCCCCTACCCCTGAACTTCCTTAACTTTTGTGGAGCAGCATATTTGCTAGTATTGAGTAGGAATGAACAATAACACTACCATTTTTATATATTTCAGAATGTTTGCACTCTGACAGTAATTTACTGTACCAAAAAATATGGCTTCAAAGCTTGCTCAAATGCAGGTAAGTGAATTCCCTCTAGTTTAATCATATTTCGCGGTTTTTATTTGCATTTCCGGATACTCAAAACGCTTTTCCTAACGTATTATTTTCTGCACAAGAATTTCTCTTTAATAAAATCATTATTCGCGCACAACCGGTATTAAAACGTGTTGAAACACGAACACCTACACCTGGATTATTGGTAATTGTTCATGCGAGTGTAGGTACGCTGTAGTCAAAATAAGTTACTTACGGGACAAAGTTAGCGAAAAATCCACCCAAGTCGCGTGATAAGGCTTGTTACAACTCATTCAAGGCCCCATTGTGGGACTGCTTTTTTATATTCAAACTCCCACGGAGGAATTTTTCTCCAATCACCAACTCGCTCTAAAGCGAGCAGTATAACAGGAAATGTTTTTGAAAAAATAATCTAGGCGAAAATGGTGACAATACTGATTGGTAATTTTCCCTGTGAATTACCTAGATTCAAGTCGATGTTGTGCCAATACCGAGACAAATTTTAATTATTTCGCCATTATGGGTCCTTCCCAAAGTCACCCACGTGTGTCTAACCGACACCAAAACAGTCCTGACAGTATAATTGATAAGCGTGAATCATCCTATTGTTGTTCAGGTTGCATCATCGCAATTGCCTGTAACATCTTCTATAAAAAATTTATCTAATCGTGGGAAGAAATTCGATTATTTATCCAGCTAATTCTTCCGGTGTAATACTTAATTATACCTCCAAGTATTGGTTATGTAATGAGGGTGTATGAAGGAGAGAAGCTTCCTCATTATAAAGAGTATTATTGCGATGTATTTAGGCTTCTCTCTCCCACTTGTTCCTGCTCATTGAAGTGTTTAAGGTGAAACGCAGGAAATGCAATAGGTGATTTTTTTTCCATACGCTCCGTTTGTCTTATTTAACGCCCGTTTCGCGTGACTTGGAAAACTGGAAAACGATTTTCTAGCGCTATAAGGGAAAATTCCGAACGATCAGGTTGAACTTGAAAGCGAGGAAATGTTGAATATTCAACGCGACAATGTTTTGAAAAATTATTCTAACGGTAAAAAGGCCCGATTGCAGTCGAACCGACGAGACTGGTTAGTTCTTTTGTACGAAAAGTTGATGAACTATGACCTAAATTAACGCTAGATAATTTACTAATCACTAGAAATTGTTCACCATGCACACACCTCTAAAAGTAGGTGTATACTATACCGACTTTTTTAAAGAAAAAATTATTGTGGGAACATTTCGAATATTTAGTAGTTAATTGCATCAATTTTTAATCGATTATTGTCTAATTGAAGTGGGTCAGACCCGTGGAATACGTCACCTGAATAGTTAATAAAATAAGTAATTCAAATTCAATAATTGTCCTTATTTTATTATACTCGACCTTAACCTTGGAAGCAGACATTACGTAGTGGAAAACGCTATAAATGGAAATCGGATCGAATTTGTTACCGAAAATATTTATTATCCTCCTACAAATATTACCAGTGAAGTTACCGGTTTTTTTTATTAATGCGCTTATTTGGTGCGATTAAACTTGGGAGAAACGCTATTAAAATTTTTATCGATTCCTTCGGCATACATCGATTCGCGTGTAAGCTTAATATGAATCGAAGAAAGAGCCGTTAATCGAGCCCGGTGACTAACAGAAGATAGAAATACCAAATGTATAAAAGGTAAAAGAAGGTGATTCAACGGATCGTTCGCCGTGATTTCAATGTCGACTTTCACGATTGTCTGGCGTTATTTTTCCCGTATTTGGTCGGGCGAATGTCGAAAAAAAAAAACACATTATAGTCCCGCCAATTTCAAGGTTTACAAAGCGTGATAAACGATCGAAAATTCGACCTACTTAGCGCCGATAAACAGGAAAACTTATTGTGGCGGAAATTATTTCGGAAAATTCGATTTCCCGACGCTTTTCTTTCGTATTTGCCGCGTTCAAGCAGCCGTTTCTAACCCACTGACCGATGTCCACAATCTTTCGACCCCATTCGGGCGCATGTTCGAACTGGCTCGAGGGAGGATTCTAGATAAACACGCGCCAGTAGTGATACGAACACATTCCCTCCAATAACTCCAAGTTTCCTTCAAACATGTGCTTATTCTCCCCATCTAAATCCACGCAAAAATGAATCGGTTCCTATCAACCAGTTTAAACAACGTTTCGATAGATTTATCCAACTCCTGGGCCGCGCAAACTTTCAAAGAAGCCGTTCTATTCGGTAGAGACAATGTAATTTCACCCAAATTCAAACAACAACACTTACCGTTTGTGACTAACGCCATTTCCAGGCTCGTTTCCAGCAGAAGCAGATGCAGGAGAAGGAGGAGAAGCTGGTGAAGCTGTACGAGAACCAGCAGCAGCGCGCCTTCGACAAAGTGGGCAGGAATAGCGCCGGAAGCACCGCCAGTATGACCTCCACAGGAGGCGGGAAAGTCAGGCAAATGTTCGACGAGCGACGGCAGAAAGCAGGAATAGACAAAAGCTATCCTTTGGAGCCGCTGAAACCGAAGAACAACATCAAAGTCGAGCGGAAAATTAAACCTGCTGTTAATGCTAGAAATACCGGCTTGAGTACTGTTAAAACTGGTAATAAAAATCTACTAACCATCAAAATTTAAGCTTTCTAATTTGCGAATCTTATTCGCAGGTAAGCCTGTGGGGAAGAAGAAAGAAGAGGACCTGGTGGATTCCGAAGGTAACGACATTTACCAATCGAAGTCCCATCGGGATATAATCGAATTATCGAATAATCACAAGTACGTGGACGATTTGGATAACGAAGTGATGCCGCGTGATGATACTGATGAAGACACCGAGAATATCTTCAAACCCGGAAAATTGTACACGAAAGAGAAAATTTCGAACAATAATGGAATTACGAACGATGCTGGTGATGTGAGTATTTTTGATTCGTTTAAATATTCACGATTTTTGACCTACGCAATGACGAATCTGGAACCTGTAATTTCGAAGAAATATAATATTCCGTTCGATTGCGTGACCGGCCAGATTGTTTCTATAGAAGCTAGTTAATAATAGAAGCTAATTAAATTCTACATTGGCGTACTCATTACCATTTTCTTATCTACTAAATGAATTCGTGGTCTTGTTATTGCCTTGGTGGTTTCACCAAAACCTTTGAAGCAGCGAATTTTTCAGTTTGAGAATATCAGATGAGCAACGAAACAAACAATTACTGAATGATACCAGAAAATTCCACGACAACATCAAATAAACATAACATTCCGAGAATTCCTCTACCATCGCTCAGTAATCGATATCTCATAACTCCCATCAAAATCCCCGTCATGTCACTCGACCTGTCACAGGTCAACAAATTAACGTTTACAGCGCAATTATTACCGCAAATTGATCGCGAGTAATGTCATCATTACAGTCGAGAACCACCACCAAATCGACTCCCAACAAATTAACCGCCGCCAAATCCAAATCCAAATCGAAGCAAACCAGCCCCGAACACCGCCGCACCGGTATGGGAGACAAGGTAATAGAAAAGAATCCATTTCCTCGCCAGCAGGAAGATCATTTACGTTATATTTCAGCCCTCCAATCAGGAGATTCGAACTCCCTCGGCCATCCGGACGGCGGACAAGCAACTGACGCCCAGAGCTGTTGTAGCCAGAGACGATCTGTGCGAGTGCAACCACTGCGGCAGGCGCTTCGCCCAGGAGCGCATCCAGAAGCACGAGGAGATCTGCTCCAAGACGGGCAAGAAGAGGAGGAAGCCCTACGACGCCACCAAGCACCGCGTCTTCGGCACCGACTTGGAATCCTACGTTATACCAAGGATGAGCGTCAGAAGGAGCACCGTCGCATCCATTAGAGTAAATTTTACTAAACTACTAAATATCCCCTAAATACATTCAGAACCTCTAGGACCTCCAGATCCAAATAGAAACCTCTTGCTTGTTTCTCCTATTTGTTTCAATACATAGATTGAGAATCTTTTGGTTTCCAGATGATTCATAAATTACTATCCTCTGCTTCCTCCAGGATATCTTCAGATCCAAATAGAAGCCTTTTGCACGTTTCTTCTATTTGTAGTACTAGATGGATTGAAATTCTTTTGATTTCTAGACGCTTTTATAAATATCCTTTTGCTTCCTCTAGGATATCTTCAGATCCAAATAGAAGCCTTTTGCACGTTTCTTCTATTTGTATTACTAGATGGATTGAAATTCTTTTGATTTCTAGACGCTTTTATAGGTATCCTCTGCTGCTTCTAGGATATTTTCAGATCCAAATAGATGCCTTTTGCATGTTTGTTCTATTTATTTTACTAGATGGATTGAAATTCTTTTGATTTCTAGACGCTTTTATAAGTATCCTCTGCTTCCTCTAGGATATCTTCAGATCCAAATAGAAGCCTTTTGCATGTGTGTTCTATTTGTTTTACTAGATGGATTGAAATTCTTTTGATTTCTAGACGCTTTTATAAGTATCCTCTGCTTCCTCTAGGATATCTTCAGATCCAAATAGAAGCCTTTTGCATGTGTGTTCTATTTGTTTTACTAGATGGATTGAAATTCTTTTGATTTCTAGACGCTATAAGTATCCTCTGCTGCTTCTAGGATATTTTCAGATCCAAATAGATGCCTTTTGCATGTTTCTTCTATTTGTCTTACTAGATAGATTGAAATTCTTTTGATTTCTAGACGCTTTTATAAGTATCCTCTGCTGCTTCTAGGATATTTTCAGATCCAAATAGATGCCTTTTACATGTTTTTTCTATTTGTTTTACTATATGGATTGAAATTCTTTTAAATTCCAGACGCTTACAGAAGTATCTTCAGATTCCTCCAATACCTCATGATTTCAAAATTAAAATTCTCAAGATTCTCATTCAAATTTTCAAGATTTTTCCAGAACTTACCAGTAGAAACTACCAATATTCTGCTTCCTATAGGTCTCCCAGATGCAAACCAAATTCTCTTGCTTTCCAAGTGCTTTTCCAAAAGCTTTCTGCTTTACCACCAGGTCCAGGAGATATCTATTCCATATGAAACAAGCCTCCTGTGAGCCATTAAGACTTTGAAGCTTCGAGCCTTCTTTGAGGCATTTTTGAATGGGCTGTAATGCGTTGTTAATTTTACAGAGTACCCAGAAGATATCGTTTAGCGGCGGAGCGAACAAGAAGGATTGGAGGCGAGCCCACGAGGAATTCATTTCGACGATCAGGGCGGCCAAAGTGGCGCAAGCGCACGTCGCGAAAGGCGGGAAACTGTCAGATTTACCGCCGCCGCCGCCATCTTCGAATCCCGACTACGTGCAGTGTCCGCATTGCGGAAGACGGTAAATTTTTGGAGATATTTGCGCAATTTTGGTTTCTTTCTTCGATTTATTCTTATTAATATTGCTTCTGGAGAAGTACAGAAGTGTCTTAGTTGTCAAATGTCATTCACTTATTTGCTTTGAAGTTAGGACCAAAATGGCGGATGGAATTGTGGTTTAAATTTGTTATTTTCTTATATTTTTTGTTGTTGTAGATTTAATGAATCGGCGGCGGAACGGCACATTCCGAAATGCGCCGATTACCAATTCAACAAGCCTAAACATTCGTCGAAATCGAAATTAGGGGCCCGTAAATGAGTTTATTTTATACACGAATTTTTATACGTACCCTACCTGCTCGGCTTCGTTAATACCGAATCGCTGCGAATATTACTATATTTATTAATATTTTCTATTTTTTACTACTGTATATTGTATAGTTCTAAATATAAATTTAGTAAATTACGCTTATTTATTTATTTAACGTTATATCACAGTAGACAGCTCTGTGGTTTTTCTAAGAGCTGACAGCTGTCATTTAATTCAATTGACTCCTACATGGCCTCTTGCGAAGTGCCGCATCCAGCTAGCTTACATTCAATTGACTTTAGCTCCATCTCTCGAAATTAAAAACGAAACATTAACGGATTAATTATTGCAAAACGGTTTAGGAAATTTAATAAATGTGGGAATAAACGTTTTTCTCGTACGAAATCCGGTATTTAAATATTTACTTTAGCTAATAGCTGAGTCGTAAAGGTTCATTGTATTTACTTTGTGTAGCGCGTAGAAGTTCAATTATTGATTTTGCCATCGGTAGTAAAAGCGAAAATGGCGCTCCTCGGATATTCCGCCTCGCTTTGCTCACGATTTCTAACGTTTACGGCTAAATAAAATCGCTGCATTACTAGTTATGTTAATTCTGTGGGATGATGCACGCTCGTAAAATATACGTGGTAAGTAGTTTTTAATTTATTGCGGTAATTGTAATGCATTTTTAAATGTAACCTACTGACATTTAAATGTCATAAATGTCATATGTCAATAATAAATTTACTAAAGTATAGGTAATTTGCGTTTGAATTTTTTTGAACTAAATTTTCTGTTATAATTAAACGTACAATTTACGTGCAAAATAAATGGGTTCATGTGTGTAGATAATAAATTTACGAATAATTCTGTATAAAAATGCTATAGCAAGGTAATGAATTATCTGGTATTTTTAAGCGGACTGTACTGGTAATTCTAATCGAATTAAAATTGTCTCATAAAGTAATTGAATCGATGATATAATGACTACATTGATACACCGAGTAAATAAAGTACGGTTTGTTGCAAATCATTCGTTCGTACTTAACGTAATTAATTACCATTAAAAGATTCACTTAGTTTATTTTGTATCAACTTTTGAACGTCCGGTAGTTAAAGCGATTTGAAGAGCACATAAAAACTCCATTCAAAATACACACATATTTTGTTTCATTTTAAATTTTAACCCATTGAACCAGAAACACGAATGCAATGCACGGATGAATCCTATTTTTATTTTTACTTTTTTGTCGGGCAACCTTAACACAATTTCGAGAAATTATACAATACGTGTATCGGTAAAAATTGCCAAGTGTTCGAAATTAAAAATAAAAACGATCGCCCGAGGACCTAAATAAAAACCATCCCACTTCTGATTTTCGAAATTCATTCATAATTAATGTACGCAGATAAAATTCGATTGCTCGCTCTTCTAAATTCGCTATTTTTAATACCAATACAGAGATTCTCTCGCCTCGAGCATTCCTGAATATATTCACAATCGTCCGCACGCGCCTCGATTCAAGCAAATCCGCATCGGCCGTTGATTATTTTGTCCGAAAAAGCCGGTGAATTCGGCCCGAGAATGCATCTATTTTGATCGATGCGAAATGGAACTTTCGCGTTTCCACTAAAACCGGCGTCCCGACGGCGACGACGCGTCCTCACCTTCCCGATAACCGGCGAGGCCGAGCGTCCCGACGGCTCCCTTCGGATGGTATGTCGACGAGAGAGGTGACTCTCGAAGGCGGCGCTCCCTGGGGGTTTCGCATGCACGGCGGCGTCGATCAGCACCAGCCATTGAAGATTTCCAGGGTGAGTAATTTATTAGTTTGTTAGCGATTTAAACGAGATAACCTTGCGGACGATTGGAAAATTTCGTTCGCTAAAAATAGGGATATAAATTCGAAGTGCAGTCTAATACTAATCGCATGCACCTTGTAAGAGTTTCGTTACAGGGGTAATGCGATATGTGAGGGGGCGTTTCGAAAAACTTGTATCGAGTTACGAGTGTAATTTTTTTTTTGTAAATTTCGATGGAAATGCTCTCTCTTTGCGTCATTAAGAGTGCGTGTTTTACGTATTCAAGTAATGTTCTTTTCGTTACAAAACGATCGTGTTGTTGTGGAAGTAAGTTTAAGTGCTCGTTGGGAATATTAAGTTTTTTTGATTCACATTCTAACAGAGGCGCATTTTGTTACAAACATGTGGTTTTTACATCTTAAATAAACTATTATTAATTAACAGTTAATTGAAAATATACAATGGAGTAATTTGTTTGTTATTTTTTTACACACAAACAAGTCTGTATTGGCATTTTATTATTTATAGCAAGGTGTAATTTACTCAAAATCTAACTTGTTATCGTCGAAAAATTAGTGATACCTACCACCTGTTTCACAAAATATTTTGACATTACCAAAGAGCTTTAAAAATAACTAAAATTCATACAAATATTAAACATTTCTCTTTAGCCACATCCATGCTTATTTTAGCTGATTAACCAATTAAAACCAATTATTTCGCGTGTTTAGAGTTCACTTATATGTAGTTCCCGTTCCCGACATAATGTTCTCTTTCTTCCACAAACTAAAAAGGGTAAGTATTACCACTCATTTACTTCGAAAGCGACATAAAATATCCACCTACAGCATATTAAACGCGAAACTTTAGAGCCCTAAGGGCATAAAAAAAATCCACATTTTTTCCACGTGTGTAAACATTTCTCGACGAAATCACCCCGTGCATGTTTAATGACCTTTCTGTGCACATGTGCGCGCGTAGAATGTGGAATTAATCGTGAATGTTCCCAACGACCTACGAAACGCCATTCGCTATTGTGGCCGGTGGTTTAACGGGTGAATATAGAGCCTCTATTGTTCGTTTTCCACACACACAAAAAAAAAACTAATCCCAGCCTAAATTCGAAAAGAGCGCAATGTTGAAATTTTGTTCGCCGCAAGGACGCAGAAGAGAATACACGGTAATTATCTACTAATTATTCGCACAGAAATTGTTATTTTTAATTTTTCCTGTTCTCTCCGCTATTGTAAAAAACTTGGCAACGGCGCGAGCGTTTGAAAATTTGCCAAAAATCAAACGATCGTTACTTAGGCAACCCGAAATACGCTATTGTGTTATTTATGTTGCAGGTAAATCCGGGCAGTAAAGCATCTTGTAAAGGTATCAGAGAAGGCGATGTAATTACTTCTGTTAACGGACGAAGTACCAAAAATTTGACCAACACCGAAGCCCACGCCATTCTAAAAAACTCCGGTAATACTCTCACGCTAGGACTGAACGAGTAAGCATAAAATTCCTTTGGTAAATTAACTTTCTGCTAATTCAAGTCAAGCCACTAGAGCCAACCTCTTACCAACGTTTCCCCTATGATTATAACATCGACATTACTGTTTTTTTAAATCGAGCGTACTTAAACGAGTACAAATTTAATTGGACAGATAGAAATTTGAGGGGAAACGCGCTCGGATCAGAAATAACCGTTTAAGCGTATTGTCATGTCCGTTCCGTCGGATTTCTGCATGAAATGCTGCTGGTGGGTGCGACTGGCATAAAATGTTTTCGATTTATTTATACAGGAAGGCGAGGCGCAAGCAAAATAGGTTAGTTCGGTTAGTTTATTATAGTCGTGGGTTGGTAATGGATCGAAAACAGAGACGGATCCGATTGTTGATGTATCGCCCCATTTTATAATAGAAACTAGGTTTTTGAAATATGTCATTCGTCTAGGGGAAATGGTGGTATTACTGATGATTTCTTAGAGAGATTTATAAGTTGGCTATCTGGTAGATATAGTAAATGTTTGGTAGCAAAATAATGTTACTGTTAAAAAAGATCTTTTTATCTATTCATTAACTCATATCTTCTATATCTTCAATATTTTTATTTGCTGTATAAGCAATTTTCTTTCGATAATCATTAGGATAACATCATGATTTAATGTCCTCTATTAGGGACTTGGAGAACTCCCCAAAAAGAAGACAATACCGTACAGTTCAACATCAGGAATCCTTCCAGGAAACCGTTAAACGTAAGTTTGCAGGAGAACCTCTTAGAAGTCACCGATATTAAATGCCTGAAAGCGTATCTACAATGTTGCGAAAATTAATTATACCATTTTCTAATCGATACTTAGGATCAACAGTAACGACCTACTCATCTATTAAAACCGTGGAAAAACTCGATTCGCCTTCGGACAAAGACAACAACGAACAACCAATCGAAGCTGATAAGGATACAACGATTACATCGATCGGTGGTAAGTTACACAATCCTAATTTCATCGAGAAAAATATATCAAATTCGAGTATATTGAACAAACCCGGTGCTAATAGAACAACTAATACACCACTCTCATCAAACTCGTCACATATAGAGGTCGTTAAATATTAAAGGAGCGCCTTAAAGACACCTATTCGATCAGTTCCGCTACCGCCATAACGTAATGTTCATATTCTGTCGTCGGATTCTTTTCATTATGCTCAGTTCTCGGAGCGTGTCTTCCGTCGCCTGACGGTTTCTTCGGCTCTTCGACGTCTTCAGTTGGGAATCGCAGCAATGAGGATAACTTGGTGGCGATGCGCGGACGATTGCGATGCGAAAAATCCGGGCAAAAAGTCCCGAGCGTGGACCAAAGTGTTCGGAACGTGGAGAGGTAGCAAGAGAAGTAAGTGGGTTTTCGGGCGAGAAAAAAAAAATAAATCGATTTGTAACGCGTTATTGTAGGAATATTTTGATGTTCGTTTCCGATGTGGTTACAATCGCTGTAAATTACCGTGTATCCACTGGTATATTGTGTGGCGGTATTTATTGTTTATCTGTCATTGAATGGTATTTTTAAAATGTACCAATTATTTCGGTGGGTAATTATGTGTTATTAAAATGATAGCGGTGATAAAATTAGTTGCTTCATTTTCAAGAAATTATTCGAATGTTAAAAGCTGAATTTAGGCAACCTAACACGCTCTGATGTCATTTATTTGGTAGTAATTTTTACAAACGAACAATTATTACAAATTTTCTACTATTCATTGCAACTAAATTCTTCTTCGTTTTGATGTATTTATCTAGGTTAATTCCATTAATTCGGATCCCATAAATCTCAATTAAATGCTCATTAATAGACAGGTATCATTGGAAATTACGTAAAATCGATATTTCGAATCGATGGGTTGGTTTTATTTTATCGATTTTTTTTATTCACATACTAAATTTTGCTATGTAGCACAAATTCGATAATTGCTCAATTGGATAACGTTTGTTTGCGATTACGCAACCGCAAAATACGCTACTATTTTTCAATCGATTATGCAAAATCGGTAGTTTTATTATAGTTTTATTATCTCATCAAGGTACAGCAGGAAAAAATACGCCAAGCAGGAGTGGTTGTGAATTACACGCGTGAAGCATTCAACTGCCCAAAAACAGTGCTGTCGATCACATTTTTTTTTCTCCTAATTTATTATAATTTGCACAATAAAAAACAGTTAATATAATGTAACTGGATTGGTTATTATGTAAAAGTCACTTATTTGTAGTGGCATTATTGTGACAACTGTCGATGTCAAAATAAAATTGTTTGTAAAGTTTACTAGATTTGCTCTTTTGGGTGTTTTTTTTGGGACAATTTCAATATGTGAGGAAATGTCACAGCAGGAATTAATCATTTTTGGGAATCCCGGATATTAAATTACCTATTCTAGTCATATACTTTTGTTCTTTATTTAAGACATTGCTTGAATTTGCCGGCTAATATTTAATTAATGTGACAATTGTCAATGCCAAAATATACTGCTCCACAAAAGTTAAGGAAGTTCACAAATATTGAGATTAATTTAAAAGTTGCAGGATTTTTGATCGCCTAATTTAGTAAAAAGTCCACTCAGATATGAGAGAAAACATTTAATTTCGCATATTTGAAAATTTGGGAATCAAAAAGTCTGTAACTTTGAAAATAATCGCAAAATTTGCGAACCTCCTTAACTTTTGAGGAGCAGTGTATTCGCAAAGCTGACTAGATTTGTTCTTTTGGTTGATTTCTCGGGGAATCCCGCAAAGCTACTTAATAAATAACGACTCTATTTTATCGGTTCTTTCGCGCACTTTATTTAAAATATTACTTTTTCTGTGAATCCCCGAGGCAGGTTCTCACTTATTGCTGAATATTAGAATTCGGGTACGACGCTGTGGCGGCGCTCCTCCTCCGCGGTACCAACTTCCGGGCCCGGAAGCGCGGTACGGCCGGTCGAGGACGCATCCTCTCCGTTTTATTTATTTACTTTAATCCAGATCAGTCGGTTATTATTTGCGCGCCGATCGCCGTTCTTCGGCGGCCATTGCGAAAATCGCGCTCGTTCGGTTTTCATTAGGCGATTTGTCGTGGAGAGTTAATGGGGCATTGTGTGTGTGAGTGCGTGTAGGTCGGTAAACACTGAGCCCAAACAGTCACATACGGGCCTTTTTACTCGCCGGACGCGTCGAATTTTTTAACTCATCGCGGTTATTTAATGAATAATAACGCTTGAGGTTAGTTCTGAACACGTATAAAAATCCACTAGTTAGTTATGTAGTTTATTTAAAATTATTGTAATTTAATATGAAAAAAGTTTGGTGTATTTCTTCCGGGCGTTATTACAGCGTTACGCAGGTGAAATTTCTCCTAGCCTGCTAGATACATTCCGCCTTAATAGGTAATTATTGTGATTTAATCGGATTCAAATGTATGCTTTACGTAATTTCGAGATTAACGTTCGGATATTAATACACAATAAGGATAGGAAGGAATTTAACGTGATCGTATACTTTTATGCAAAAATTAACCTGCAAGGTCGACCGGTCGGATTGTGAGCAAGGGAAAACGTCAGGAATACATCAGAAAAATCATTCTAAATTAACGGATTTCTTTGCAGACGCTTCCATTCATCTGCCGCCCAGCGATTTGTTGGTAACCAAAAGACCCGGCTCGTCCAGTTCCTCAACACCAACGTTAACCAAAGAAGGTAAATAACGTTCTACATTAACGCTAAAATAACCTACACCAACATTATAACCTATTCATTATACAAACGAAAGTCCATCGGGAATCATTTATTCAAACGTTAACGCTAAAATAACGTAGATACCTAAAACTCAACTTTAACCATCTCTACTTTGCAACAATTACCAGTTACTTAGCGGTAACTTTAACAACATTATTAATAACGTTAACGCTAAAATAACGTATAAATTCCTTTCTTAGACTTGAAAACCTATTCGTCGGATAACGCTTTGGCTTCCGAGCGATCCTCTTACACGAATTGCACGTTGAGTCCTTCCAGCCATTCGTTGTTCTCCGAAGACGGTAAGTGAAAAACTGTTTTTTTTTTCTCTCGCGCTTTTCTTTTGGATGATCCGATAATCGATACAGTCGAGACCGATTGGCTGATTAAATTCGTTTGATAAATGCGAATATAAACGGCGCATTTAAAGCGAACGAAAACGTACGATTCACTTCCGTTTGTTTATGCGGGAGTGTATACGAAACCATAGGCGTAACTGCCGGATGAGTCCGATGGAAATTACATTAAGTATTATTTATAATTAGAGAGAAAAACCAGTAAATTGTATTTTTCTTAGTAATGTCGGTAAAGGGAAAAGTTTAAAACGGCCCATTATTTGTAGAATAGAGCTGAGTAAAGTATCGTAAAATTTTCTCTATCCTGCTGAAATATATTTTTAGAAGAGGCATTACAAAATCACCCTGAACGAATATTTAATTCTCTAAATATTTAACCTTTCATATTTACCCTAAAAATTCATGATACACAGTATTTTATACATATACTGCGAGTATATTTATCCAAGAGGTATTAGTTAAACAGCAAGATATGATAGTGATAAAACCAAGAAAGCGCACCGTCTCGTTCTTTTCGAGTATATCTACAAACTCTTTAAATATCTCTTAAACAAATAGAAATTTTCCCCGGCAAAAATGCCTCCTTTGTGTATCGTAAAATCTATTTTACTTCAACCGAGTTTAAACCAATTGTTAACATAATGGTAATTTTCCTACTTAGTATGAACGATTCATTGTCTAGCAAGCGCTCATAAAAATTGTAAAAAATAATCCTTCAAATTAGCATTAATTTTTACGTACCTATACGGATTAACAACAGCCTCTTTAAAAGTGCGCCAATACGCATATTTTTTTAATAATTCTATCCCCGTCGGCGACGCCTATGGTTTTCGAAAACCGACGATTCGCACGTTTCCCAAACGACATTCAGAAATTTCAACTCGGAGCTTCGCTCGTCCGCCGGTGTATTTAGTGAGTACACGAATTACACGCGTTCGGGTCTATTTTCAACACGCAGTGTCGAAGTGGCGAGGAGTGTGCTCTTTAGTGCCCGAAAACAGTGCGTAGGTGGCGCTTTCGAATCACCAATCCGATTTAAATTTTTTTGAGCTTCAATCCCATTCATATTTTCATTCGCCGATCTCATTAAACGAGGTGCTTCTGGTTGTTTTTTTTTTGGAAATTACAATTTCTACGACGCGCAACAATTTCGATATGTTTTGAGCGAGATAGATAATGTATATTTACGTACATGTAATTCAAGGTTGAATACAATTACAATTATCGCGTACAGAGTCTGTGGGAACATTAAAATTTTTACGATTATTTAAATTCCTCCGTTATCTACTAACGCGATTTATTTATCCAATACATTTTACCTAATACACATTCTCTATTGGATTACTTAATCTTAACCAGAAGCATCTTAACATCCGCAACGCTTGTTTGCCGACTTTAATGAAATATATCCGTCCAAACATCTGGAAATTGATCTCATGCAGGCGCACGTACGTCGATCGCAGTCCCGCCAGTCGACGAAACTAAACAAATCCATCGCGTTGATAACATGAACGAAGGTTCCAAGCGTAGTTCAAGGTCGAGGAAGCGCCGCCAGCGCCGCAGAAGGGCCCACAACGCCGATAACGATAAACCCGACAACGAAGATTACACGGTGCAATCCCCCACGGAGCTGGACACCAAGAAAAAGAACAAACCGGTGAAGAGCAGGAGTCTAGACGACGAAGACGACGGTGTGGTCAAGATCCAAGAAGTCAGCGGCGATGTGGATGGGTGCCAGGAAGCCCAAGCGATAGTCTCAGAAGCGTCGGAAAGCGAAGTGGAATGGGAGGAGACCGAGAACTTAGATACTCCGCCTCCTGTTCTGGGCGCTCTGAGCACGTTAACTCTACCGCTGGAAGGCTGCGTGAGCGAGCAAATCGCCACGTTGTCGCCGCACGAAGAGAAGACTCTGAGGAGCTTCCTGGAAGGATTGAATCTGATCAATGGGCCCGAAGAAGCAGCGGATCGCGTCTCGGATAAAGCGGAGGACGCGAAGGAGCGCAAAGCGAGGAAACGCGCCGAACTGGAGAAATATTTCCTACCGATCTACCAGAATCCCAGGTACTTGGAGGTGATTAGCGAGGAGTCGAGGGAGTCCAGCGATCGCGAATGCGAACCGAAAGCGGGTACTTCCGGTAGAAGAGATGTTCGAAAAGCCCTTCCCAATCCGGTGGTTTTGGTGGATACCAAACTGAAAGAACATAACGAAGAAAACGAACCGGTTTACAGCAACGTGGCTTCCACAAACGTCGAAGTCGTATATTTAACTTCTTCGGAAACCGAATCGGAAGAACAAGATAGCGATAGTTACGTGTTAGCGTCCGAAAAACACAGCAGCAACGAGGATTTAAGTGATAAAACTCTTGTTGATTATGAGACTGATGATATCAATAATGCTCAAAACTTGAATGATACTCCTACAACTCTAAATGTGATCGAAGATAATAAAGAAACTACATTAACCAACGAACAATCTACCAAAGATAATACTACTATCAACAAAATTGAAGATGCCAAAGAAACTAAAGTTACCAGTAGAGAACTGAATAATACTAACAATAATGCTATGCTAGATGAACGTTTATTAAACCAACTAACACCACCTCCAACACCAGACAATGCATCACCAGAAGAAAGCCTAATGGAACCATCACCAATTAACAACACAGATAGTGCAGTTAAAGCTGCTATTACCACTAAAGTTTTAACACCACCTCCACCATCTAGATCGTCATCGAGCAGTAGAAGTTCCTCTATATGCACCATCAAGCATAATTCATCAACATCTTCAATGGCCGATGTAATGGCGCTAGCTAAAGAAACTGAAAGGTTTCGAGTGGTAACGTTAAGAGAAATATGCGTTAATTTCCTTCTGTCTTTGCCATTTGGAAGGGAAATTTTGGAAGAACTAGCTGACGTGTCCAAGTGCATAGACTCATACACCAGTTCTCTTCCTAGTGTAGTTTTGCCGAAACTAGCTCCGAATAGAGGATTGCCAACGAATTCTAATAGTGTATCTTGTAAACTTTCAGTTCAATCGCATCCTGGGAAATTCCCGCCGCGAAAGAAGAAGCAAGAAGAAATTACTTATGTAAAGACATCGTTTAATGAAGGAAAAAATGTCGATAAAAGTGCCGAAAAAGTGGTGATAATTCCAGTGCAAGTTGAGGAAAAACTAAAAAGCGATGTTAAAGATGTAAAATTGGATGATACTTTTGAGAGCAAAGAAGCTTTGCGGAAAGAATATATCATACCAATTAAAACATGTAACGAAAGAGATGAAGAAATTAAGACAAGTCCAACAAATCCAGTTACAAATCAAGTAGAAACAACGAATATAATAAAAGAAGAACGTAACGAGAAAAAAATTGTTAACATACACGAACAATACCAAGAAGACAAAACGAGTAATGAAAGAATACAAATAATTAAAAAATACGCTATTCCAGTACAAAGGGAACAACCAAAAGAAGTCATCATACCCATCACAAAAGAAATTGATAACAGCAAAACCAATAAACCCAAAGAATTCGTAATACCAATAATGAAAGAAGGGCATACAGACAAAAAAGACATATCAGTACCAATCAGAAAAGAATCATTAAAGTTCCTGCAAAAATCCAAACAAACTACAACAGAATCTTCAACTCCAGAGCAGCAAGAAATTAAACCCAAGGAGCATTTAATTCCAATAACAAGAGATAACGATAAGCAAACCTACCAGAATTGGACCAAAACAACTCCAAAACAGAAAGAAGATAAGAAAAATACTACAACAAAATCCTCAAGATCAATACAAATTGAAAGTGAACACAAGGAGCATATAATTCCAATCAAACTAGATACTAAAAAAGAAACAGGATATCATAATTGGACTGGTTTGCGTTGCGAAGAAGACCCCAAAGTCCTACTCTGTCTCTCACCGAAGCAAAAAGACCAATTAGAATCAACCAAGCAAATTCCCCAAGAAGCCGACAAACTGATCGACCTCCACTCCAAATTCATCAACAGAAAAACCCCTCACGCGCAGGACTCGAGACTCCTAACCATCATCAACGAAGAACCCAACCGACTACCACCCCAAGAGAGCCGCTTAGCGGCCAAAGACCTAATGGAATGGCTGAGTTTGGCGCGATGCAAGAGCACGAGCCTGGTCGACTTGACCGAAAATAACCCAAGAAGCGCGCCGGACGCGCCGAGACGCCCGTCGTTGCCGCAGGATATTTTCGAAAAGCAAATGCTGTACATTCGCGAAAAGGAGCGGGAAATCGAGCGGCAATTGCAGTCGCTGGAAGAGGAGAAACTGCTGCTGGGCGCTCGCATGGAGCCCTCCCGGCCGTTCCGAGCGGACGATTACTGCTATTCCAGGCGCGGCGATTTCGCGGAGACGAAGAAACGGCCCGCCTCCATGCCCGCCATGCCCACGGAGTTCTTCAGACAGCAGATGTACGAGGAGTATTTGGGGAAGTTCGCCGAGCGCGAGGAGCGCAAGCAGCACAAAATCATCAAGGTCACCTCGTCCAAGGATTTGAGTCAGGAGAGCGCGCTGGCCGATCGACGGGAGATCGTCCATCCGGTGCAAATCGAGGAGGAGTTTATGGATAAGGTGATGGAGATGAGGAAAGGCGGTAAACTAGAAGAAACCAAAGATAATAATAATAACAATGACGGTAACAAGAAAGAAGTTGTTGATGAACCGCCTGTGTTAGTAATCGATGGTGAAACTCTGAAGGATACCAAAGAACTTCCGAAACACCTGCAGGAGTTCGTAGGCGCTGATGGTGAGTGCAATGCGTGGTTTGGTTCGCTATAACAAAATGTGCTATGTTGTGTTTTTTTTTCTCTCTGTGTAACTAATACTAATAATAAACCGTTTACGAGGCTTAGTTTGATTTCTATCGTTTTATCGAAACATGTGTGTTTTTTTGATCTAACATTGACGCTATAGTGTAGAGTTCTGCGCGGATTTCGAAGTGGGGATGCTAAATTTAAACATTTAAAATTAGGTTAAACGGCTCGCCTACTCTCCGAAACGCTGACGAATGTTTTCATTGCTTTCGGAAAATCGCTTATGTAACAATGTGTTTCCTTTTTTTTTGCAATACAAAATTTAGTACTCGACCGAATGAAAACCTACAAACCAAATTGACTCTTTAAATTACAAATAACTTCCCAAGACATTAGTTCCAAGTACCCGCTAAAAAATTGCATTGTACTTTATTAAATTTGAGATTAATAATTGTTGTCAGGTGGTAATGGCGGTAAGAAAGGCGGAAAGTACGCAAAGAGGGTTTGTAAAGCGCTTAGTAAAAATAGATGGCGCTCTAAAAGTAGCTTGCTGCACGAAATCGATTCCTCCCTAGTCCTAGCCAAAGGATTTTTACTACAGAAAGGTTTGTTAGTCGTCTTAATTGCTAAATTTCTATTATTATTACACGTACTAGTATATTTTCAATCGATTACAAATCTCATAAAACTCAAAAATAGAAATTTGGCAACACTTGAAAGTAAATAAACACATCAGTAACTAATCCCCTCGACGAATTAGAAGTTTTATAACCGAATTACCGGCCCATAACGAGACCCGGCAACGCGGCGAACTTAAGAAACATCCTTCGAAACGAAAATTCTAATTCCGTTGCTGGTGGTTGAACGGCGTCCCGACGCTCAGTAATCGTCAGCGCGTCGTTCCGACAGCGTCGCACGTGCGATGATGGCGAGCGTCGCGACGTCCAATTCTGCCGCCGTCTTCCGCGTCGTTTAGCATTTCGGAAATGAAGGAGCCGAGAGCGCGGCCGACGCCGACGCCGACGCCGAAATTCAAAGCCAAAGCGTCGCCGACCAGTCCAAGTAGGTATTCGTGTGTTGGTTTAATTTTAATGCTATACGAACATTCGGAGGAAATGGATTTAAATGGAGGTGTAAGAATTATTTGGTGGATTATTGGGCTATTTGGAAACGGGATTAGTGGAGCGGAAGTTTATTTTTAGTCGATAGAAATTGTGCATTTCCTGAATCTCAGCTGGCTAGAGAATTCGTCGATAAATTACGTGTATGGATTGCTTTATGTTTGCGGTAAAGATTTACTACACTGGTGATGTTTTAATAGTCAAATTATTCTTCTATAAAGTTGCAACGGTAGCTAATCGTTCAAACGATTGGATATTTTATCATAATTTCAATTATTAAAACTAGTAATTATAAAAATAAGTTGGTGCAATTTATTTACACCCTGTATCCTTCTTGACATTAAAGCAGACCATACACATTTTTTTCCTAAAAAAATATCTACAAATAATTCTGATTTCGTAACATTTTTCGTCTTGAATTTCTACAGTAAAAACCAGGTAAGTTAGAAAAGCGCCGGAGTAAATTTTGGCATGATTTCCACTGAAAATTTCGAAAATAAAACGACCGTTAATTGAAATGGAAACGTTAGAAGTTATTACCGAATTTCGTACGGGATAATTAAATTCCCACGCCCGATTGTTTCGCTAAAAAATTTGTCTAATTAGTCGAGGATTATTTATAGCGCGTTCGGTTCGAGTTGATTTAACCAATTTCCGTTTGCTTATTTTTTTTCTATTAATAATTTACCTTAGCGAAAAATAAAAAATTCAATCCGTTTCCCCTTCCAATGGATCATAACACGTTGTAAATTAAAATACAAAACTGTATCCTAAAATTATCCCAACTAAACAACGTTTTGCTTGGATAGTAACTATTGTGTAATAATTAACAATATACTTGTTATTCGTACCCAATCAATTACCTAATTCACGCCCAATTAATACGAATCAATCGCTTCGTGTAGGCATCTGGTCGCCCGGCCAAAAGATCGATCTATCGCCCCAAGAAAAAGACAAGCATTTCTTCGGAAATCGAGATGAATCCATCCCCCCCGTATGGACCCCCAAAAGTGCTAATTCCAGCCCTGTCGCCGAAAGGAAGGAATTCCGGCCAGTAAACTTCCAATCTCCAACGCTAAGCAGGCGAAACAGGACCGCATCCGAGGTAAGGCCTTCCCAGAAAATTCCCAAAGCCTTCCCTGAACTCTCCAGGAACCTTCCTAGAACCTTCCCAGGACCATCTCAGAACCTTCCCAGAACCTCCTTAGAACCATCCAGGTCCCTTCTAGGAACTTTCGAAGACCTTCACAGGACCTTTTATATATCTCCTCATACCTCAATGAATCTTACCAGTTATTTTAGAAGGATTTTTTTGTAGAATCAGCCACCCCGGAGGAACCCGGACTATAGCAGTGACACGGGCTCCGCTTCGTCGGTTTTAGACAGAAGATTGCCGGCCAGTCGATCGACTCCTGCCACCGGTTTCTACGACTTTTCTCGATTGCCCAAGGCCCAAAATCCCACGATCACCCTTCTGCAGAAAGCCAGAGGTATGTTACAAACAACAAAAAAATCCACCATTAATTTTACTCGTGTATTTTGTAGAAGGCCAACTTCCTAAAGGTGCTTCTTATATCGAGCACGATCCGAGGCATTTTAGGCCCAAAGACGATCGACCCCCTATAGCCGGACCTGGCGAAATTCGTAAGCACTCTTAATTAGTTAATTAAACTATATATTTACCTAAATAATCGAGTAATCACATCAGTAATTGTAACATTAAGTAACCAATTACTCAATTAATTAATCGCACGATTAGTTTTTGTATCTACAAAATTGGATTTGTTATCGGTAGATGGAACGCAATCAATTGATCCCGGGATTGCTGATAATTTGTTTTTTTTTTTTCTAACGATTATTTAATTTCCAGTATATCAGATAAAAAACGAATATACGAGCGAATCCGATAACGAAAGGCCCAGAAAAATGACCGATTTAAGCCAGAGGAAGTTCGAAGGAATTGGTCCTGTGACTAAAGATGGCATTCCGCTTGTTCTTAGATCTGTAAGTACCTTTAATTTCGATAATCTAATTTTAATGTAACTTTATCGAATTTAATAATGATGGTTTTATAATTACGTTATCGTACATTAATGATTCTAAAATAGTTTACAATCAACTCGTGGAACGTAAAATTTAATTTAGATTATGTTTTTTTAGGATGTTAAAGACCAAAATCAATCGAAATGGTACAAAAGAATGTACGATACAATCCACAAACAACCGCAACATAACGGTAGGTGTATCCAATTAATTAACCTAATCAATTAATTAAGTCGATTAATTTTTATTAGATTAATTGGCTAATTTCGCTATTTTTTATTTGTTTTTTTTATTTTACAGACGAATACGTAACAATACGTTATAAGCAAAAAAGAGGTACAGTCGAAATTTTTGGAATTTAATTTAATTCGGCTTAATTGAACGCTTCTCATTAACACGCTTATTATTCTTTAAAAGAAAGCTAATTAATTTTCAAAGCTACAGCACTGCAATTTGTACCAACAAATTCATTTACATGATACCACGTTAATTAGGTCGGCATTTAAAAAGAACCGATTACAATTAAAATTGATAAAGCTGACCTTTTTCGTTGGAAACCTATTGAACTAACCAGTCTTATCAACCTAATGAGACGCTCAGTCGATATTCAAACTCGATATTATTCGTACAATAATTTATAAAAAAACGTGCCTTATACTCGGTTAAACTCTTAATTACACACAGGTAAAAATTACCGGATTTAATTAACTAGTTAAGTTATAAAACGTGCTCAATTGCTACCACACATTAAACATATTCAACCGCTTCGAATACCTATAATTAATTAGTTTACCAACAAAGTAGAGCGCAAATAACACCGAAAAAAAAAATCACTCGCATTCAGCCACTCCGTTCGCAATTATTACGCAATTACCGAGCGCAATTTCGTACATTTAAGTACCGTATTTTTCTAGCACAATACCCTTACACTTCCGGTTATCTATCCGAACCGGAACCGGGCTCCTACGACAGCGATTTCACCGATTACAAGTACCAAACGTTGGACAGGAGGCGCCCTCTGCCCCAGGACAGGTCGCTGGACTACGTCAATTCCACCACCATGCCCAGGACAATCGTCAATAGGTAAAACAATTACTTTAATTGCTCTTTAATTACTTCAAAATTTGTTAATTACCAATTACTTTGTTGGTTGTTCAATAATTAGACCATCTGCATGCTCGGTACAATCGTTAATAGGTAAAATATTTACTTCAATTACTTTAATTACAATTAAAAAGACTTGTTAAGTATCAATTACTGTGTTGATCATTGACAATCGTCAATAGGTACTTAAATAATTACTTTAATTGCAATTAATATTTAGTAAGTTACTTGTTAATTGTCAATTACTGTCTTGAAATTAACCACAAGGTAATTGATGATTGATTGATTAATTAATTGCTTGTTGTAGATCGTCGTCGTCGGATATTCATAAGCAGCAGGATTACCTGAGGGGACCGGGAAAAATCGAAAATTACGTCCCTGGTCGTTCGTCGATAGCCGAAAAGGAAACGAAACAGGCGAGTAATTAATTACCTCAATTACCGGTTTAATTAGAATTCGTCTCGTAATTAATTTTTTGTGTAACTAAAAGTGTAATTTTTTTTAGTGGTGGGACGAAGTGATGGACATATTCGATGGGGTAGGATTTTTTTTTGAAACCTAGCTTATTCATTTTTATACTGCTAACTATAATTTTTTTGGTACAAGGGTGATTCTTTTTCGTACTAACGCTAATTTTTTCGAAAAGTGGCTGGACGATAACTCAGCTCTGCCCAGTTATGAGGTCATGTTCGCGAGAGCGCTCTCGAAATCTGTAAGATATCAAACAACGAATGGAGCATGTCCCATACAAAACAAACTTTCTCCACTATGCTTAAAGATCTACTCAAAATAACATTGTTCGATCAAATTTTGAGTAAATCGATTGTTGTTTAAACACAAGCATGATAACAAACCCAACGAATTCTTCAACACTCTGCATGGATTCTGGACACACTTTGTACTACTACTGCACCGACAAATATCGACCACAACCTAATTATTTTTCTATATTTTAGCATTTGGAACAACAGAAACAAATCCCTCACTCCCATCCGAAGAGCTTCATCAACCAGTAAGTCACCAAACTCTTCCAAAACTTCATTATAATAATCAACATTTTCTCGATAGATGCCTGAAAGACGGTTACGAGAGCGATTCGACTTTGGTGTTCAGAAGAAAAGAGGAAACAGTCCAAAGGATCAGCCCCAAGGAGCAACGGGAAGCCTACAAGGTCATACAGAAAGGCGGAGATGTTCCTCTTCGAGGACTGAGGAAACCTGCCCCGGAAAAACCTAAAGGTAAGTCGATGTGCTGCTGAATAGCGTTTCTTCTCTAACCAAAAGGATACTTAGTGGTGTTAGTTTTCCCGAAAGGTGATGGCTGTATTTACAAAAGGTTTGTTAATTAATTATAGCATGTAGTGGTAGATAACTTTGCTTCGAATCTAAACCAAAAAATTCGATACCACCGTCGGTCTTCACGTTGATATTTCCTTCCAGAACACCAAAGCACTTGTTATAGCGAACTGTTAAATGTTAATAACGCAAAAATATTATTCGCAGAAACGGATTTCGTTGAGTTTTTCCCAATATCCCCGACGCTCACCAGAATTCGATTGCGCAAAAACTTGAGACCCCAACGGGAGATCGTCTGTTATCCAGTAACAGTGCATCACGAAAACGCGTTTTCTTCGTTCAAAAAGAAGATTCCCGCGCCGCCACCGGCGCCGCCGCCGTCGCCGCCCAAGAGGAAATCGTCCAGGAACAATCCCACTCTCAGGCTGGTGTCTTCGATGAAAGCGAAGCCGGTCAAGTCTCCTTTGTGCAAGCGCCACGAGACTTGCTTCGCTCCCACCTCGGACAAAATTAACTGCCTCAAAGACAAAATCGCCTGCAGGCTGTCGCCTACCGGCAGTAGAAAGCAACCGAACACCAAGATAAAAGTGGTTAAAAAAGTAACAGCTTCACCGGAGATGAAGAACAAAATATCTTCTACTTTGATGACCTCTAAAGATGCAAAATCGTCTTCGCGAAGAATAGAAAGTAAGACGAACATTTTACAATCGATGAACAGAGGGAAGAAATCCTCTTCAGTGGAGAGTTTGAAGACGTTCGGTAGCGAAAAGAAGAAATTCGAGATCGATTTGAGGTCACCGAAATTGGTGAAATCACCTGATTTGGTATCACCTACAGAAGTTAAAAAAGCCGCTTTGAATCTACCATATTGCAAAAAACCTGCATCTAAATCACCAAAAACTAAACCAATCAAATCACCAGTATCGACCAAAAAAACTAAACCAGTTCCAAAACTCAAAACCAAGTCAACCAAGGAACAAATCAACGACGAAATAAAAAAAGAAGTAACTTCAATTTCAGTACTAAACGACATACGCAAACAGAAACAAGCTATGGAAACCAACCAATTTTTCCAACACCTATTTCTCAGAGACCTACCATCACCAACGCCTTCAAACTCCAGCAGGTCCTCTTGGTTGCTGGAGAAAACCAATTTGCTGCACAGAAGAAGATCCTCCTTCCCTGAACCCAGCATCGGAGCGATGAGAGTCTACTTGAAGCACACTAGACCTGTGTCAGACTCCAAATTCATCAGCTTAGATCTAGCCAACGTTCGATCCAGATCCGCCAGTCCCAAACCCACACAATTCGAAGATAAAATGAAGAGGAGCAGCAGTTTACCAGCTAAACTAATCTTCTCGCAAACCAGCAGGCCCGTTTCTCCTGTAGTACAACACAGGAAACTGGTATCACCTCCTTTGTGTCGTTCGCCATCTTGCAGGAGAATCATGCAGTACAAAAACGCTCCCTGCAAATTCAAAGAGCTGAACCAATTTTATTCCGAAATAGAAAAAGTGGGACAATTGGAGAAAACCTTCAGCGTGAAGCCGCGGAAGAAACAAGAAGCGGAAATCATAGATTTCGACAGATGGAGAGAGGTGAGATCGCGCGAACGAGCCGAAGAACAACTGGAATATCTCTACGATAGCATCAAGAAAGAAGAAAAAGACAAAGGTTTTGTATACATTCCGAAAGACGTTACTAAATACAAGTGGAGGAAAGACCGCGATATCGGATTGAAATTCAAAGAGAAGTCCGTGGAAGATATCAAAGAGGAGTTCGAACGGATCCAGGAGTACACCAAGAGGGAATTGGAGATTTCCAAAGACACCTACAAGCCTTTATGGAGAGGTTTTTCTGTGGCGAACATAGCCAGTAGTATAAGCGATAGAAGATCGCATTCAGAAGGTCGAGTGCAAACTATCAGGCAAAGACTGATCGAATCGGAGAAGCTGCTCAATCGCGGCATAGGCAGCAGGATCTGGAGCAGCCTTTCGATGGAACAAATCAACTTACTCAAAGACCAACTGGCTAAAATCTACAGCAAAGAGGACTACTCCATTGAAGTGCCTAAAGAGAAGATCAAAACGACCGTTCCAAAGTTAACGGTGAGAAGAAATTCCGATTCTTCCGACCACATTTACAAGAAAATCTCCGATATATCGGAGAACGAGAAGAAAGCAATTTCCTATAGTTTATGTAAAGAAGCAGTGGATAAGATAACCAAGAATCGCAAAGAGAACAAATTGGCTCTACCTATAATGATCGGTAAAGAAGTACTGGGAGCAGTCGCAGCTGCTAGCATCAAAAAGGAAGAACCCAAGAAACCTTTGATCAAAACTAACGCTTTGAGTACTCCTAAAGCTCTAATCAGCGAAACGGAAAGCGGCAGCACCGATGAAAGCACCAAAACCGTCGTTTGCGCCGAAGACATCAAGAAAAAAGTGGAGTACTTCGAAACTGTTAAAGATAAAGAAATGTACATCCCGACGGTTTACAAACCCGCCGACGATTCACCAGAAGAAGAAACCCCACACATACCCCAATCGAAATCCTGCCAAAGCCTCAAAGACTACTTCGGCGAAAAGGAACTAATGAAGTTTGCTACGATACCGCTATCAGCCACCAGGAAGCAGAAATTCTCGCCCAAAAAACCCGAACTGAGGTCCATCGACATCAGCCCCATCAGATCGGAAATCTCCGACGAAAGCAGGTCCATTTCCCCGTACTCCATCACCAAACCCCCATCATCCACCGGAGAAGTATCCCGCTTGAGGAACAAATTCGAATACATAGAAGACATCTACGGCAGCAGAACGTTGAAACGATCCCGAAGCGAGTCCGATTTGAACAGCGTCTACAACGCCGGCCAGGTGGACTCCATCAAAAGGAAGTTCGAGTACCCGGGTCGGGGCAGGAGCAGGACGAGAAGGGGCGGCGTGGTGTCGCCGATGTCCCTCAGAGCCGAAGACCGCTTCATGCCTCACATTAACATCATCAGCAAGATCGCCAGCCTCTATTCGAGAGGCAGCGCCCGAGCGAACCTCAAGCGCCAGCGGAGCGCCGAGGAACTGGCCGAAATCCTCGGCTGTCCCGTCGGCGAAGTGGACAAATTGCGGGGGAAATTCGACAGCCTGGAGGACGTTTCCCTGATGGGGCAAATGTACACCTCGTCGCCTAACATCCGGGAATTGAAAGACATCGCTCCGTATCTGACAGGCGATTGGGTAGCCCACAAGTATCCCAAATTCGAGGACAACGCCAGGTCGCTGTCGTCTCCGGAGCAATCGCCCGCCTCTAGGGACGTCTCCTCGCTGCGTCGCGACGCGTCCAGGCCGAAATCCGCGTCGCCGTCGCCGTCGAAACGCTCGCCGTCGATACTGAAGAGTCGGTCTGCTGCGGATTTCTGCGGAAATCGCGCCAAGCACGGTCCGATCGAAGCCAGGTACAGAAACGGGTGGAGTGTTTGCTCGAAACCGACGGTTTCGTTTAAAGGTGTTGTATTTAGGTTAAAAAAATGACGCACGTTTCGACGCACCCGTACATGTAGATGTCTCTCCGATCGACACCGTTATATCTTCACTTTGCACACGATTCTTCTTTTATACCTGTCGCTTTGTTCGGTTTACGCAACGTATCGGAATCCCCTCGTAGCTATTGTACGAGGATCGTTTGATAATTAACGGAGTTTTACGTTGCAAATCGGAATCACCTCGTATAGATACTGTACGAGGATCGTTTGATAATTAAAGGAGTTTTACGTTGCAAATCGGAATCCCCTCGTATAGATACTGTACGAGGATCGTTTGATAATTAAAGGAGTTTTACGTTGCAAATCGGAATCCCCTCGTATAGATACTGTACGAGGATCGTTTGATAATTAAAGGAGTTTTACGTTGCAAATCGGAATCCCCTCGTATAGATACTGTACGAGGATCGTTTGATAATTAAAGGAGTTTTACGTTGCAAATCGGAATCCCCTCGTATAGATACTGTACGAGGATCGTTTGATAATTAAAGGAGTTTTACGTTGCAAATCGGAATCCCCTCGTTGCTACTGTACAAGGATCATTTGATAATTAACGGAGTTTTACGTTGCAAATCGGAATCCCCTCGTAGCTACTGTACGAGGATCGTTTGATAATTTTAGCGCAAGTTTATACGAGGACTTTCTAAATATGATATCGCTATTGAAGGATGTATTTAATGTGCTCAAGTTGCGTAAATTAATTCTTTAATGAGTAGATATGCTAGTTTTCTTATGTGACTAATTTTTTTACTATTTTAACATCTAGCTCGTGTGGTGGTGATTAACAATTGAATTTTGAAAACTAGTCGTCTTGTTGTAATTAAATGTGTAAATTATTATTGCTAGAACCAGAACCCCCCGTACCCCCCGTACCGCCACCCAAAGGACTTTACGCAAGAAAACTAGAAGGTAAGTCGTTGTAATTTAAAATCGTTTTCACCTGCGAAACATTTACTAACACAAAGTAAGTATTAATATTATGTTTTAAAAGTTTTAAATTGTCGATGAAGTTCAATTACCGACAGTTTACGGGCATTAGAAATTGTGTATGTTGGGTTGCCTATGCATAAGTGAATGTAAAATAAGCTTTACTGGATTTTTTAACAGATTGTGAAAGTGTAGGGGGAAAAGGAAAATGTATTATCTAATTAAATGTAACTACATGATTTTTATAGAGTTTTTAAAAGTTGGTTTTTGCGCACGATACAAATTATCGACCCTAATAACAGGGAAACTTTCGTACCAATCTCCTATTTACGAAACGAATAGGGAAGTTAAAGGTACACAAACCATAAAAGTATGTGCTCTTGTTTCAGAAAAAATATCGGTAAGAATATAAATATATATACCGTTGAATTTTGGCACAATTTTCCACTGACCCCTCGTAATACTAATCGAATTATCTTATCATTTTTTTTGTTTCAATTAATCTTTATCTAATCTGTAATCTCTATTTACACGTCAAAAAAATCATTAAGTATCCTCTTTAGATACGAGTAGTACAGTGAATTTCTGCAAATATGAACGTTACATTACGCATAAAAACACCCCAACAAACACAAAACCACGTGGTAAACACGCACAGAAGATACACCATTGCCAACCCTTTGGTGTACGGACCAATACCTTATAGTTAGTATAATATTATAAAGGCTCATTAAGAATCTTTTTAATGTTTTTTAAACTGACAGTTGACATGTGACATCTGACAACTGACAGTCGACAAGTGACAGTTGGCGTATGACAGTTTATATACGTGTGACAAGTGACAGGAAGTTGTGGTAAACGAGATTTAATTTCATCAATTTGTTTGATCTAAATTTCTATTTGTTTAGCTTTCACGCGAATCAATAACTCTAATGATGTTTTATATTTTAAGTGGCTTGTATAATTTTCATCTCGGTTTTAAGTAAAAGTTCGTCCGTATAGCCGGCGGGCTCACTTTCCATTTTATTCGAAACATTCCCGGGGAATTTCTAATCGCCAAATCAAATCATCCGAATTCGATTCCGATCGAACGAATATTTCCTTACAAAAAAACCATTCGGGCAAATAGAAAACCGACCTATTTTCGTCTATTAACCGATTCAATTGAAACGTATCGAGAACAAACAAGCGCTAACGAGTTTTTATTGCCATCGCCTGTGGTCGAGAGAGAGTGTGTCGCATTTTCTAACTCGTAAGTAGAAAATAGTTTGTCGAATTTTCGAAAATTTTCCGCGACGTTGCCGCTTACTAATTTCAATCGCAATTCTACTTACGTGGAATAAATAAGCGCGTGACACTTTGCCGCATTCAATACCATTCCACCGCGTTTCTTTTTTTTTTTAATGTCGCTATTACAGTATCGGTGAAATGACTTTCCATTCGAGCGCGCGATCTGTTTAGTTTCACCTAGACCTTCGTCGTTAAAGCCAAACACACCAACAATATCTATACTTGTATCTAATAAAATTCGCCATGATCAAAAACGCCTACAGAATACTCTCCGGTAATTAATTAATCCTCGTGATGTCATCGCGCTGTTAACGCGAACGTGCTATATTACATTATTTTGTCCGCAGAATCTCCAAGGAAGTATGTGGAAAACGAGGTGACCATACACTACAAGACGCCGGTGCGGCAGGAGATCAAGGACTGTCTGAGCGAGGACGAGCTGGCCCATCGGCAGGCCGAGGCCATGAAGAAGATCTACCAGGAGGAGAGGCGGAAGAAATATCTGCAGGTTAGCAAGTCAGTTGAAGTAAGTGATCGGGAATCCGTCTGGTAAACGTGTGGATGGTGTGGAAAACGCTTTTAATTAAGAGAGAAAGCGGAACACTAAAATGGAGTGGTTTTTGCTAAGTTTATTTTTTTTGGAACGGATTCATCGAACATTTAATAATATTTAACTGTTTTAGTCACGTAATTCATCTCGTATTGTTTGGTAAAAATTAGTTTTTTATAAGTTAGAGGTTGATTAATCAATGCTCAGATAATCTTCCAATCAAGCTGACACTAATATTAAGCTGCAGAGGTTACAGAGTAACAAACTAATTTGCTATTTTTTTCCAATTTAACACAAGAAATTCGCTGGAAAAATATCTGCACATTGATAAATCTACCCTATAATTGATTCATTCAATCGCCATCAGGAGATAGAAATGAAACCTAATTTAGCATGTAGAAGACTGCGCAAAAAAATCTTTAAATTCCACAACTTTAAACCAATAATAAACCCTGTATACATGATAAATAACAACAGACAACCCTTTTCTAAACCAAGATAAAGTGACCTACTTCTAATTTATTCGTCCAATTCACCAACTGCTTCGACAAAAAGGTTTTATTACTATCTCCCGATAGCCGAACAGAGTGTAATTAAATTTCTGATTGACCAGGAACTTCAAGACATGAATTCCCGAAGGCACACGGACAATTTCATTCCGTCGCAAAAATCCCCGATATCCCTTAATCGATACGATGACTTCGACGATCTCGCACCGACTGCGCGGCCCAGACCTCGATCACCAGGTAAAACACAATTTATTCTATTCATCAAACTATACATCCACCATGCATCAGTAACTAGTATAATCCAGTAGATGCGAATAACAGAATCACTGATGGTTTTTTTCTTGCAGAACACCGGCTTTGCGCACGCGCCCTCTACAATTTCGTCGGCCAATCGGCCAGAGAATTGACGTTCAGGAAAGGCGACGTCATTTACTTGAGGAGGCAAATCGACAAGAATTGGTACGAAGGCGAGCTGAACGCAATGGTCGGATTGTTCCCCACCAACTACGTCGAGGTGAGCCCTCTATTAGTTAAGCGAAAACTGGCGAAAGCGCTACGGAGAAATTGATTTCCAGATAGTACCGTTCGACGGTACGAAATCGAAACCGACCTTGAGGAAAGCGCACGAAGGCCAGGCCAGGGCCAAGTACAATTTCGTGGCCCAAACCCACCTGGAGCTCTCCCTGGCCAAAGGCGAACTGGTCACCATAACGAGAAAAGTAGACGAGAATTGGTACGAAGGCAAAATCGGCGGAAGGAAAGGTACCGAACCACGCCCAACCAAACTCGCTACGATTACTGAATACATTTTTTCAACAGGAATCTTCCCCGCCAATTACGTCGAAATCCTCATAGATCCCCATCAGACATCGGCCAGTTCCAAACCGGTGGCCTCTCCGGCCGCCCATTCGCTTCTTCTGAACGGTTCCGCCGGCGGGAAGGAATCGATGGGCGCCCACAGTTACACGCCGCTGCTCAATTCCTCCCAATCGGGTTCCAGCTATCGCGCCAAACCCGCGCAAGTGGTCAACGACAAGAATCCGGGACTCGACCAGACTCTGCACATTGAAACCCAAAACGAACCAGTACCGTGAGTAGTTTTAACGTTAATCAGTGCTACCAATTCGCTTACAACCGGCTTGGAAATGTGGAAATCACAACGGATTGTATTGGTTTTGTTTTAGATTCCGGGCGGTGTACAAATACAAGCCGCAGAACGACGATGAATTGGAGCTAATGGAAGGCGATACTGTGTTTGTGTTGGAGAAATGCGATGATGGTTGGTACGTGGGTTCCAGCGAAAGAACGGGAGCGTTTGGTACCTTTCCAGGGAATTACGTGGAAAAGATGTAACGAGAAATGAACTCTGTTTTTGGCAATGTCGATACCTTAGTGTGGTTGTTTGACATACATAATTTTATGCAGGAAAATGAAACAGAGTTTGCCGCTGGTGATAGTACAAAAACTCGGCGATTTCGGTCCCGATTTTATTTCCCTTCCGCCAAAGTAATGCGTTACCTTTTCGAAATTAATGCGTCTTCCCTCGTATAATTAAGTTGTGCATTTTTTTTTTGATTTTAACTATCTAATATCGCTTGTAGATAAGCTTCGTTCAGGACTAATATTAATCCCAATATTTATGCAATTTCTAGTCACTAGCCAAATGATAATTCTAATCGTTAAGTATACAGGGTGTAGAGAAAATGCGAGAAATTTGAAGAGAACGATCTTCCATGATGTATTTACTAATCGTAGTTGTAAATATCCCATATAATTTTTTCGGCATATCGTATTTTGTACCTTAAAAATCGTATATTATAGTCGAAATTTGCGTTGTAGAGTTTTCTAACCCACTATGTATTAAAATAAGACTTTGAATATTAGGAGTGCCTTTCTGAATACAATATTTAAATTTTAACAATGTTAATAATATATTTAATTCTTTTCGTTTTTTCCTGTACTGTTAATTGCCGATTCGAGCCAATAATCAACAACGTTTCCCGTACTATTTTTTTAATTTTAGCAGGAAACTTTTTGAAAATCGGAAAAATTAATTAGCTAATCGTCGCCGAACGAAAACCAAAAAAAACTTGTTATTGTTTTCTGTTGTCATCTAATTTACTAGATAGATTATATTTTCCACTTCGTCGAAGAAGTTTCACCTAATTGTAACGTTTTTGTTTCAAAATAAAAAATATTTAATGTTATCCTTTGCTTCAATTTACCTACAATCTACTACTCATCAAGGATCCACCACCAAAAACTGCCAAAAACAACCTAAGAATTAATTCCAAATGAATTTTAGCCAAAGAATCAACAGCTACAATATAATGAAGCTAAAGATCCAACAACCAAAAGATATTATAGTTAAGCAAATGATTATAAAGCTAAGGATTATGAAACTAAGGACTGGGAAACTAAGGAGTATGAAACTGTTCGATTAACCAAAGGATTATCACCAAAAGCATCATCAACCGTTGGATTATCACCCAAAGCAACCTCAACGAATCGATCATCAACCAAAGGATCATCAACCAAAGGATTGTCAACCAATTAATTATCATCCAAAGAATGATCAACCAAAGCATCATCAACGAAACGATCATCACCCAAAGGATCAATACCCAAACAACCAATTTTCACCACATCTTATGCTATCACTTACAATCATCTTTTACCAAAGAGGACCAAAACGTTTGATGAAATAAATAAAAAAAAATCAAATATATTGTTGTATTACGAACCGATTTTCCACTTCACCCTCTAGAATCACCATCCACTCTTATAATTAGACGGTCTTAACAGTAGCGAGCGCCCGGAGCCCCGTTTCTCGTAAAAATCCGTAATTGCTCCCGGTAAGCCGGCAATCAAACAGTGATATTTTACGTAGATATCAATCCGCATCTCGGCCTATCAAAACGCATGATCTTTCTGCATTTTGAATCGGGAATCGACCCAGAGGCCATCACGGCGCATCGGCACTTTAATTGCACCCGGCCGTTTCGGTTTGGGAAAATATCATTCTTGCGTTTCTTTAACTGCCCGCTCATGATCGAGCCGGATCGTGCAAGGCTCCTCGCTGGGGTGTTCTTAGTCGAATTATCGAATCAATGATATACCCGATTTCGTCTCGTCCGATCGGCAATTTCGACTGAATTAATCCATCTTCATAAATATTACGAAAAGGTTTGCATTTGCATCGGTGATTATTTGTAGTAACTAAAATGGTTTCGGTAGTAATTTTCGTATTTTATGTTGGTAATTATGACGTATAGCAGGTGGACAACTTAGTTTAAGGTTAGGAAATCTGTGATGTCAACTTAGTTTGATATTTTGAGATTATGGGAATAAAGCGAATAAATGAATTAAAAATATAATTATTGTTCGTTTTGTACATCGAATTCGATTTTGAAATTAGTCATTGATCCGTGTAAATCTTCGTCGATTATCCACGGATCGAAAATTACTTTATTTGGAATTTTCGATGAATTTTCTGGTGTTTCTTCATCCTGCAATTCTTCCGCTTTTGTAGGCATTTTAGAATCATCCCCTTCGAATTTACGATAAAGAGACATTTTGGGATTTCAGTACATAAAAATGACAATAAAATAAACAAATTTACGATCATTCAAAAGTACAGAAAAATTTACCAACTTAGTTACAGTAAATAATCGAATTCCCCTAAGATCCGTGAAAATTTTCTATTCAAACGAATTATAAAATTCCGAAATTAAATCGTTCCCATCGTTATCTCAACCGGTGCTTTGGCAAATTTCGCCGGAGAAAGAGAAGATAAACAGAGGAGATATAATTGCCGATGGAAATTATCGAAAAATAACATGCCTGAATTGTAGAAAACGGCCAATGCTGGCATTCCGATTGAATATAAAATTTCTGGAATTGTTCGTCGGTAACGTGTAATTTACAATCATGGCGGAACGCAAATCTTTTCATTTCGCATAATGACTAATGCGTTCGATAAATGCCCATTAAAAATAAATAACTCGGATATAATAAACGATCGTGAGTCGATGTGTAAGTATAATACACTTACAGGCGCATTACATTACTTGTATAACTCTTACAGGGCATTGCAAAACTACCTTAACTGGACTTAATATGATGAAACAAAGAATAAAATTATTACTTAATCTCCTAGAATTATGAACTTACACTTAAAATGAAGCATTAATAATAATTCAACCGCTCAATACTGTTTAGTAAAGTGAAAATATAAGTGAAGTGAGTCCCCCTCGAAAAACCCTCAACTGTAATTAACTCGAAAAGAGCAAATTGCGGAAAAATCGGGAAAAAAATTTAAAGCACAACACTTCCGTTTCCGACTAATATTTTAAAAACGTTGACCGGAGGTGTCAATAAGTGGTAATGGCGTTGGTTTTTTTACCCAGTCACCTCGAATTTTCGTCAATATTTTATAAGAGCTTTCTATTATAATACGATCGGACGCGAACCGCAAAAAAACTGGCTAACGTTACGATACACGTTATTTTAATATTCAATTCGGCACTTAACAGAAAGAGAAATCATAGCAGAAATGTTCGAATATAGTAGTAATTTATAAGTTAAGCAGGCAACTCTATATACTCTGACGTCATCTACCTGGTGTATTACTTCTCTATACGGAACGAATTGAAAAATTTTTATTTCCTATTTATTATTCAATTCAAATTCGACCATAATATTCAAGAAAAGTCGTAAAAATCTATAATAAAATAACAGCGGAGGAACGAGCCGAGAACGGCTAAAACGAGAAAAAAATGATAAAAAAAAACGCGGAGTTTAATATTAAATAATTAATTTTAATACGGTTCGCGGGCGATTGTTAATTTTTAATCGGGTCGTGAATATTTGAGCGGATTCGTTTCGGCATTGCTCCCTTTCAACGAGACTTAGAATTTAGTATTAGCGTATGCAATAATCAGGATTGTGCGTAAACAATTTTATATGCCCAAATACAACCTTCCAAAATATACCTTTTTTAATGCTGTATCAAATTATTAAGTGACTGATGTCAAGATCTTAAATTGGCAACACTGATGAAAATTGAGTTGGTACTCATGGGTACAATCTAGTAACTTTTTTTTTGCTTAGTTTTTAGCCAATGCCTACTTGATACAAGTAAATAGGGAATTGTTTTTGAATGAAAACATAGGCATAAATTCCATTAAAATTATAATTCGATAACTAAAAAAGCGCGCATAAAAGGATCGGAACTTCAATCGGAAAAACCTTTTATACGCATTTAACGGATAAAAAAAAAGAAGAAACGTTTTTGTACCTACGGGTCGAATTAACTTACTCTATGGTCAATTTGCAAGATTACGGGCATGTCGAATAATTAAAAACATACGAATTTTACTCTCGTTAACTCTTTTGAGTACGAGTTATTTCACGTAAATGAATAATAAATTGTGGAACATCAAAATGTCGGCGTTCTTTTATAAAGTTTGCGAGATGGAATCTAAATCAATTAGTCGAAGGGCTGATTTTTTTTGGGGGTGCTCTCGCTATATTTAACCCTAAATAGGACACGATATTTGCTACATGAAATACCATCAAAAATTGATAAAATTCACCATTAATTGATACGTTATGAAATAAGAAAAATTGCTATTTTTTAAGGAAAATAAATCATTAAAAAATTGAAACAACTCACTATAATATTTTTAACATCCATATTTATTTTCGTATTCGCAGCACTCGCGATGGTCCAGTCGCCGGACTAAATTCGCCGGTGTTTTATTTGCTTTTATGACAATTTATTTTGTGTTCTTTGAGCTTAGTCGATTCGTATGTGGGCGCGTTTGTCCGGCATTTTCTATGTTATAGAATTACATGTAAATACGATTTCGAAAATTGAGCATTTTAAACAAGACAAACGATGCAATCTCAATATAATTTGAAATTTCCGCTTCGCTCGATTCGCTGCGAAACACAACGATCGGTAATTTTCTACCCGTAGGTAGGAAAAAAAATTTTTATTATTTCGATTTAACGGTCGTACGTATACGTCAGGTGAATTATTGCCGAGTTATATGGGGAAAAAATTATTTAAATATGTACAGGGTGTTCTCGAATTTATGGCACTAAATTCTAGGGGTGGTTTCTAATATTTCAAATAAATGCGATCCTGTACATCGGTTGAAACCCCTCTAATTTTTTAGAATCATGAATGAATTATAAAAGTAATTCAAGGGGTTTTTCAAGCAATAGAAGAAAATAAACTTTAAACTCAAAAGGATTAACTCACCTATTTTGTTGTTAAACGCTGCTTAATTGTTCCAGAACATCACTATAACGAGAACTAAGTAAATTAAGAAGAACACTATGAGAATTAACTAAACTATAAAAACACTAAGAACTAAAACAATCAAATAATTCACTAAAGTCTAAACACAAAAATGTATTTAACCCCGATATTATAATCAAAACAATACAATTCGCACTAGAAAACGATCGGTATCGATAACGTTTTTCTAAAGCTGGAAGGCGGAAGGGGAAATTTGCGCTTGCTGATAAAATACATCGAATCTGTTTTTTTAGTTAAAATTCCGATTAGCTGACTATTCAGGCCAGGGTTGTATTCGCTCTTTGAATTAATTTCTAATGGCTCTATTTTGTTTATTATAAATTTTTTAGAATAATGAAATCTGCGAATCGGTCTCAAATTAAGCAAACTCCTAGAATTTAGTGCCATAAGTTCGAGAACACCCTATATACTAGTGTGTCTGATGTAAGTGTAAAATAAGTTTGTTATTCGAGTCGATTTTTAAGTTTTTTAATTAATTTTATTTGGCCTAAATTGGGTATAGGTGTACCTAAATAAACTGCTCCACAAAAGTTAAGGAAGTTCGCAAATTTTGCGATTATTTTAAAACTTACAGACTTTTTGATCACCAAATTTTTAAATATGCGAAATTAAATGTCTTCTCTTATATCTAAGTAGATTTTTTGCCCCTACCTCTACAATTTACACTAAATTTGGCGATCAAAAAACCTGCAACTTTTAAATTAATCTCAATATTTGTCAACTTCCTTAACTTTTGTGGAGCAGTATAGATATTTTTGTGCAACATTTTTGGGCATAAGAGGAAAAAAATATACAAAAAAAAATCATCAGCAGAAACCGGCGCATCGGGCAATTAATTTCTCCTCTCGTCCGCATTCCTCGCACCTCCGGCGCTCGCCTAAATAATAAGAAAAAATCGCCCCAATTGCATTATCGAAAAGGAAAATTGCCGCAAATCGGATTTTCGCCTCCCATTTCCGAAAATAATCAACCGTCGAATATTCGACGAAAATGGGGGGCACCGCGGCGTCGGCGGCGCCCCGACCGATCGACGTCTGGCGACGCCCTTTGGCGAATTCGAATTCGACACTTCGCGGGGCGCGGATATTAAATAATGTTAAAATCGAAACAGGAAGACGCCAAGGTGAAAATCCCATTGACGTATCCACTATATCATCATATTTCCATCATCGCCAAAAAAAATATTTTCAACTCTTAACGTCATCACCACTTAAATATGGATAAACTATATGCATATATTTCTTTAAACAAAAAAAAATGTGTGCAAATGAGAATATAATTCTAAAAATAAAATACAAAATATACTAGCTACATTTTTGTATTTATACTGCTCCACAAAAGTTAAGGAAGTTCACAAATTTAAGATTAATTTAAAAGTTGCAGGTTTTTTGATCGCCAAATTTAGTATGATTGTAGAGGTAGGGACAAAAAATCCACTTAGATATGAGAGAAAACATTTAATTTCGCATATTTGAAAATTTGGTGATCAAAAAGTCTGTAACTTTTAAAATAATCGCAAATTTTGCGAACTTCTTTAACTTTTGTGAAGCCGTTTATTTTTCTCATTTAATAATTTATTTGTTATAAAACAAAAAGCCGGTTCTAGTGTACAAAATTCCCATAAAATCGAAATCGAAAGTGTTAAATAATATTTGGCTGGTACGCCGCTGTATACCAATCAATCAAACCATCGAATATGTATATCAATTTAAGGACAACAAATGAGATAGGGCCCACCCACCGATCCTGCAGGACCCTTTCGATTTCCATTGAGTACCCGCATTGGTTCGCGGCCGAGACCGCTTTTCTGGGGTTTTTTTCCTGTTAACGCGACCCCTTCGCGCCCATCTGCCGCTTTAAATTCTCACCCCGGGGGGGTGATTTCGCCCCGACGGCGACGACCATCTTCTCGTTGCGATCGGATTCGCGAATATTTTCGATTTGTAAAATAATTCATACATGTGCATCGTGTGATGAATAAATGATGGTATTTTGTGTCGATAATACCGGTGTTTTTTAAGTAAAATTTCTTCATTTTTTGGATAATAAAAAAATACATTTTAATCTGTTTAATTAGTATAAATAAAAATAGCTTGATACTTACTTTGTTGCCTGACTGCGATTAAAAGTGATGTAAGGTCGTTTAAGTTCATTTAATATTATCAATTAAATTAATTAGTATCAACAAATTTTATAATTTTAATTTAATTCACACACAAAAGTTTATCATTATCTTGATACAGAGGGTGTTGAAAATTTAAGCATTAAGGTGTAAACCTTAGCCTATCACTGGTAAATTAAAAAAGTTAAATATGTAAGCTAATAAAGTTCTTAATAATGTCCATCATATTAGATTTTTATTAAATTATATCTAATAGTTTTAAAGATATTTAAGGAAAACCTATTTTCAGAGGCGTTCTTCAGGGCCTATATGGAAAAACTTGTCATCCCATTTTTCATTTCCTACACTTTTCGGGACACCCTGTATAACCCAAATTTTTATAATAATAATTTTCAAAATAATGCAATGCTGGGACAAAATAATCTAAACAATTTTATAAGGCTACCTAATATGTATGTAAAGTAATTTTAATCACAGACCAATAATTAATTCAATTGATTTGATTACTGTTTTCTATAAATTTTTATATTAAATATCTCTTAAATATCACTTTGACCTTCTTATAGAGCTACTCTATAAAATTTAAGAAATAATTAAATTATTTAATTGAAATTGCAAATTAATATCGAATTGAAATTAACACAAATTATACATTTATTAGCAACTGCTAATGATTATTATTTTAGAAATATTTTTACCCATTTTAATCCACTTCAAAGAATTATTATAATAGGCATAGTAGAAAGGTTAGTTTATTAAAAACTAGAAAGGGTAGGTATATAGATTATTAAAAAAATAATAAAATTTGCGCAACCCAAAAAAATATATTTATTGCCAAAAATCCGAAACCACTTCAAAAGCACCACGTTTAAGTAATTTTTTAATGTTGAAAGCCAAAGAGTACTCTAAAAAATAATTAAATTCCAATTAAAATTATACACTTCTTAATAGATATCAAACAACAAAAATGTAGGATGTCAAATGAATATCAATTAAACATCAAATGTGCGATGTAACGTAATTGTTTTAAAAAATGTCAACTAAATGTCAGATATCAAACATCAACGTACTTATTAACCAATCCTTACCTAACATTGAGATGATCATCGATTTCCTTCAATTTGTCCTTGTCCAAGTAAAATGAGTTCAAAAACGTTGTGCAACCGTTCGGCCTTTTAGATTCGCATATAAAATTCCTATGAACAGAACACTCGAGATCGTCCAATTGGAAATCGGGATAGCGGACGCTAGCAGGAGAATTTTGAATCAGTCGCACGCACTTTTGACGTTGTAAATGGTCATCTGGTTGATTGGGCAGCCAGTTGGGATTGCTGATGATTTTACCGGTGCCCATCGACATAAAGTTAGAGCTACCTGGCAGTCGGATTAAGGAAGTCCAGAAATCCATATTACGACCAACTAGAGATGATAGCAATTATAGATAACATATAGTCTACCCTACCGTATCTGGTTTAGTATGCGGTCTACCCAAATTTATTTAATACATGGTATTAATGTATATACAAACAAAAAAAATTACTTGTAATAAAAAAATTAAATAAAAGAATTGCGGAAGTTTCAGAGTTATACAGGGTTACTTATTCTCGAAGTTTTATAGTGCAGGGTTCTTAAAAACTGTAGGAGATAAAAAAAAGTTTAAATGAACAAAAATTTGCAGTTTTGTGAGAGATGTTCACAACCAGTTTCAATTTTACAAAAAACATCACACCTCTCAAAGTATTTAAATGTACTTTCTTATTTTGTAATGTTATTTACCTGTGTCTACGATGTGTCTATTTAAAAAGTCGTTTTCTTCTCTCGATTCGACGGTGAGCAATTCCATGCCGTGAGATTTACAAGATTGATGAGCGTTTAACCAATTAGCCTTTGGAGAATATAAAAAAAATATATTTTCTTCGTAAATCTTTCGATATTCTTTATTAAATATTTAATTACTCACCGTTAATGTACTCTCTATGTAATAACTTTTCCTGCCATTTTGGACGAGTGGCAAATTCCCATAAGCGAAGCAAATTGAACATAATTCTAAAATAATTAGAATTTGCGCGAAAATTGTATAAAAAGTAGTTGATTTATACCGCAACATTGTAATAAAAACTGCTACTAATATATTAATACATTTACATACAAATTTATACTAAGATTAATTATTTATCTTTATACAATTTGACCTTCTTGTAGTGATTTTTTGGCACTTAAGAGTTTAAAATGTATCTAATTAAGTTATGACTATAATTAAGGTTATCAAAGTAAATTCCCAATGATAATGTATTTAGAGTAAAAAATAACATTTTTTGGATCAACTAATAATGATTAATTATTATTTTTGAAACATTTTGACCTATTTTTATGCACTTTACTGGAGCACTCCCTTTACTGGATGCACTCTCAACTATTAAAATGGGACGGTAGGAAGATTAGATTATTACAAAATAAAATAAAATTTACAGAACCCAAATGAAAACCTGGAATAGTTTGTCCCATTAAATTCTTGTAATAAATTAAAGATTTAAATAACATACCCCGATTCCTTGTGTGTCACTTCCATCAGAATGGCAAATTTAAAAAAATCTAAATTAATAAGAATTTGCATAAAAAAAGCGCAAAAATTAATTATGATTTTCAGGAATTTCCAAATTTAAGATTAAGGCTACAAGTTAAACTTAATTAATAAATTTACAAACAATTTATATCAAAATTAATTAGGTACTTATCTCTTCACACACTGACCTTTTTATAGCGATTTTCGAGACATTTAGAATTCAAAAATTATTGTTTTTATTTAGGGTAAAAAATAAAACTTACAAAATCTAAAAAATATACTTTTATTGCTAATAATGCGCAAGCTCATCAAAATCCTTTCAAAAGCACCATCTTTAAATATTTTTTTCATTATTTAAAGACCAAGGATTGATCTAAAAAATGAAGAAACTTCAGTTAAATTTATAAACTTTTCATTAGATATCATACAGCAAAAGTCGAATGTATATTAAACGCCAAATGTGAGGTATTGTGTGAATGTTAAAAAAATGTCAATTAATTGTCAAATGTCAAACATCAATGTACTTATTAACTAACCCTTACCTAACATCGATAGGACCATTGGTTCCAGTCGATTTGTCTTGGCCTACGTGACTCAAGTCCACGTTTTTTATGCAATCCTTGGTCCATTTAAATTCGCAAATAAAATACTTCTTGCTATTACACGAAACGTCGTCCATTTTGAATTCTGGATCGCCACCGTTAGCAGGAGAATTTTGCTCGATTGCTATGCATTGTTGATGTTAATTATAGTCATTTGGCTTTCCGGGCACCCAATTGAAATAGGTCATAATTTTACCAGTTCCCAGCGATATAAATTCGGAGCCTACTTGCAGTCGTGCTGCAGAAGTCCAGAAACCACCACTACGACCAACTAGAGATAAGAGCAGATTATAGATAACAAAGCAGGAATAGTATGGAAATTGTTACTGGGTGTTTGCTATTTACCTTGGTCTATGATTTGTCTATATAAAAATTTGTTTTCATCTGACGATTCGATGGTGAGCAATTCCATGCCGTGAGATTTGCAAAATCGATGAGCGTTTAATAAATCGGTCTGTGGAAAATATAATTAAAATATTTCCTTTATCAATCTTTTGATTTCTTCGTTAAATATTTAATTACTCACCTTGTATGAAGTTTCTATATAATAACTTTTGATGTCATAATGGATGAGTGGCCCATATGCAAAGCAAATTGAAAATAATTCAAAAATTATTAGAATTTGCGCGAAAATTGCACAAAAAGTATTTGATTTATACCAAAACATTGTAGATACAAACTGCTACTAATGTTTTAATAAATTTACAAAAAATTTATATTAAAATTAATTACTTATCTCTTCACACTCTGACCTTTTTATTGAGATTTTCAGGACCTTTAGCATTTAAAAATGATGACAATTATCTCACCAACTTGACAACTTATCAAATCAAATTCCTCATATTTGTTTTTTACCTATTATAATTTATTACATACATACTAAATACATTAATAATGTATTTAGGATAAAAAATAAAATTTTCTGATTCCAAAAAATTTATATTAGTGCTAATAATACACAAAACACTCCAAATTGTTTAATTAGAATGGTCACTTAAAATCATCAAATTAATACAAATTACATCAGCAACTGCTAATGATCGATTAATATTTTTGAAACATTTTTAACCCATTTTAATCCACTTTAACAAACTATTATAAATAGGACGGTAGAAAGGTTAGATTATTATAAAATAAATAAAATTTGTTTAACCCAAAAAATATATTTGTTGTCAATAATGCGAAACCACATCAAAAGCACCATGTTTAAATATTTTTCATTACTCAAAGCCAAGGAGTGTTCTAAAAAATAATTAAATTATACACTTATTTCTAGATATCAAACAGCAAATGTAGGATGTCAAATGAATGTCAATTAAACGTCAAATGTGGGATGTCATGTGAATGTTAAAAAATGTCAATTAAATATCAATTGTCAAACATCATACTTATTAACCAATCCTTACCTAACATCGATAAGGTCATTGATTTCCTTCACTTTGTCTTGATCAACCTGAACGGAGTCCAAAAATTTCGTGCAATTCTTCGTCCATTTAAATTCGCAAATAAAATTCAACTGGTCTCCACAAAAAAGATCGTTCCATTTTAAAATCTGTTTGCCATAAATATTTCTTTGTTGGACGTGTAAGCAATTTTCGTTATGCTGGTAGTCATCTGGCTGGTCGGATATCCAATTGAAATATGTAATTTTCTTACCAGTATTTAGCCAGGCCCAATCGGCGCCTCCAAGCATCAAAGCGCGTATTCCTGAAGTCCAGAAACTTCCATAACTAAAACCTACAGAGGAAGGATAACGTTTAAGAATATTGGCGTTCTTGCCTAAGACGCTGACTACGAGTTATCTCGTTGTTGTCTCAGTCAAAACGAGTTAATAGTGAACTTTCTAATTTTGAAATGCTATTTACCTTTATCTAATAGGGTTTTATCTAAAAAGTCGTTTTCTTCTTTCGATTCAATGGCGAGCAATTCCATGCCGTGGGATATGCAAAATCGATGAGCCTTTATAAATTCAGCCTTTGGAGAATATAAAAAAATATGTCTTCTCTTATCAATCTTACATTAATCTTCATTAAATATTTAATCACTCACCTTCAATGTAGTTTCTAAATAATAACTTTTCACTCCATTATGGATGAGAGGTAAAACTAGATATATATTAAGCATTAATAGAATATTAGTAAAATTATTTATAGTAATTATTACCTTTTCTTTGTGTGGATGATCTCTGATTCCTAGCAGCGCCGCAAACTGAAAATAATTCTAAAATAATTAGAATTTGCGCGAAAATTGCACAAACCGAAGTTGATTTACACCGCAACATTGCACAAACTGCAACTAATCGATTAATAAATTTAAAAACAAATTTATACTAAAATTAATTATATATCTTTTCACACTTTGACCCTCGTATAGCGATTTCCAGGACTTTTCGAGTTTTTAAGATATAATTAAATTACTGATTGTTTATTATTATTTTATAATAATGGACCTTTTACCTCATTTAAAAATAAAGACAATCATTAAACTTATAAAATCAAATTCCTCATATTTGTTTATTACCTGTTAATTTATAATAATGTATTTAGGGGAAAAAATAAAATTTTCTGATTTCAAAAAATTTATATTAGTGCTAATAATACACAAAACACCTCAAATTGTTTAATTAAAATGCATTTTAATTGACCATGGTCAATTAAAATTATCAAAATATTTATTACTTACTATCATATAAAAACTATACATATCAAATTATTTATTATAACAAATTATTTATTATAACAAATTATAAAATAAATAAAATTTGTTTAACCCAAAAAAATATATTTCTAGCCAAATGCGAAGCTACTTCAAAAGCACCATGTTTAAATAGTTTTTTATTACTCAAAGCCAAGGAGTGTTCTAAAAAATAATTAAATTTATAGATATCAAACAGCAAATGTAGGATGTCAAATGAATGTCAATTAAACGTCAAATGTGAGATGTCAGGTAAATGTTAAAAAATGTCAATTAAATAGCAAACGTCAAACATCATACTTATTATACAATTCTTACCTAACATCGATAAGGTCATTGATTTCCTTCAATTTGTCTTGGTCAACGTGAACGGATTCCAAAAATTTCGTACAATTCTTCGTCCATTTAAATTCGCATATAAAAAAGAACTTATAATGACACGGAACGTCGTTCATTTTGAAATCCCCATAGCGAATGCCGGCAGGGGATTCCTGCACGATTTCCATGCATTTTTCGTTCTGCTTATCGTTATCTGGCTGGTGGATATTCCAATTGAAATAGCTAATGCTTTTACCGGTACTCAGCCACATCCAATGGTCGGTTTCTGGTACTCGTGTTCCAGAAGTCCATAAACGCTCATTACGATTACCTAGAGATGATAACAATTAATAATATAGCAGGAATAGATACTATGGAAATTTTTATTAGTGGACTTTGTTATTTTTTGTTATGTTGTTTACCTGCGTCTACGATTTTTTTATTTAAAAAGTCGTTTTCTTCTTTTGATTCGATGCTGAGCAATTCCATGCCGTGGAATTTGCAAAATTGTTGAGCTTGTAAAAATTCGGCCTGTGGAAGATAAAGAAAAAATATATTTCCGCCCTCAATCTTTCAATATTTTTTATTAAATATACAGTATGTCTGAAAAAGTTGGCAACATATAGGAAACTTTTCTATTGTAAGTTTTACGAAAAGTTTTTCTCTATGTAAATCTCTGCTTTCGAAAATAATAATATTCAGGTATTTACATTTGAGATTAGATGTAGAGGGTGTCTAAAAATTGTAAAAAATTAATAGGAATAGTTTGAAATAAATATTTATAATTACGTATTTGTCTATTTGAGATAATTCTTATAACAGATAAAGTCAAAGTTTATCAATTTTGCAATGAAATAATCAGTAATTGCACTTAAACGCAATTTTTAATTTCTTTAAACACTTAACACTCTTAACACTCTTAACACTTTAAAATTACATTTAATATTTTGAAAACAATTTGTAAAAATAACATAATTTTTTAAAGTAGTATAATCTAATTGCATATTAAAACATATTTCGAACAACTTTTCATAATTAAAGTTTTCGATATTGTGAAAAATAAAGGTACTTTACTCTTGTATCAAATTCATATTTTTTGACAAATACGATTTAAAAATTGCCATCTGACATTTACGTTTTACATTATTGGCCATGCAGAACTATTTATAAAGAATAACTTTTCGTAACATTACAAATAAAAAAGTTTGTATGTTGCCAACTTTTTCAGACATACTGTATACCTAATTACTCACCTTGAATATATTTCCTATGTAATAACTTTTAACGCCATTATGGACGAGGGGCAAAGCTGGAGATTTTTGGCCCGATAAATTTTTCCAATATTCTAGAATTAGGTACCTAATAGAATATTCTAAAGCATGTATATGAGTTATGAGTTAATTTTAAAGATGTTTATGCCTTTTGGAAATTAATTTTGATGAATAATATTACAAATAATTAAATGTTTATTCTTTTATGCAAAACATTTTTTTGAGTGTACAGGGTGGTCCGTAAGTAATGGTCCAAAAGTGAATGGGAAGATTCTGGGCCTCAAAATATTACGATCTGAGCCAACTTGCTTTAATAAAATATTGAAAATAAAAAAGATAGTGTCAAAGTCGAAATCAAAAAAATTATTTTTCGCATCAGTTTGGAAGATTTTATGTAGATGTACAGAAGTGAAAATTTGAAGACAGGTGTTTCAATGTATGAGAAATCATAATATGATAAAAACAATTTAACAAAAGACATTTCAAATAATGAAAGGTCAGTGGCGTTTCAACTTCATATATAATATACAAAACATTTTTGAGTGTGTATATAATTACCAATACCTTGTGAGAGTGAACCGCTATTTCCATAGCAAACTGAAAATAAGTCTAAAATAACAAGAATTTGCGCGAAAATTGCACAAAAAGTAACTGATTTATATCGCAACATTGTACAAACTGCTAATAAACCTATTAATGGTTTACAAACAAATTTATACTAAAATTAATTATTTATCTCTTCACACTCTGACCCTATTTTATCGATTTTCAGGACCTTTGAAATTTAAAAAATAATTTAATGATGCATTAATGCATTTATTAATGGCTATAATTAACCTTATCAAATTAATTTCCTCATAATTGTTTATTATTATTTTATAATAATGTTTTTAAGGTAAAAAATAAAATTTTCAGATTTCAAAAAATATATTTAGTGCTAAAAATAGACAAAACACTTCGAAAGCATCTTATTTAAATAACTTTTTATTACTCCATGCCAAAAGGACTGATCTAAAAAATATATCAAAAATTAATTTAGACTTTAATAAATAAATATCAAATGTTGAATGTCGAAATTGTCAATTAAAATATCAAATGTCATTGATGTCGCAATAAAATCAATTAAATGTCAAATATTAAAGCCCTTATTAGCCAATTCTTACCATAACAACGATCTTGACTTGCTGTTTGTGACAATGGCTAAATATTATGACTAATTAATAGTTACAATCAAATTTATTTAATTAATATTTACAAATTGTATCAATCTGTACCCAAGTTGTGCATGTATTTTGCAGTTATTATAGCAGGTACATGTAATAAACAATTAAATAACAACTTATGAGTACAAAAATGATGTCATATAAGTATAAATCTATAAAGCTGCCAGCCAGACTACCTGACTGATCGGTTATGTCCTTAAAGTATATTCGAACTAACTTTAACTCGCTTTAACTAGAGAAACTCATGAATAATCGCAGTGGAAATGGGGACGTTGTATTTCGTAGAATAATACACGTGCACTGTTCGCATTAAGAAATAATTGTTCCGGATAGCGTCGTGAAAATTTAAAGCGTCGAATCAAATATCTAGAATAAGAAGAAGACAACTGGGCAATCGTTCCTCAAGAAGAGGAGAAGAGAAATCATAAATATTTCCCTGTGCATTGTAAATAACCCTAAAACGCGCAGACTACAAACTTATGAATTATTTCGCTTCATTTATGCAATATTAAAGGTGCAATTTGAATAGAGTTCGCCTCTTCCTATGCCAATCCGTTCGGTAAATAATTCAATTGTTCGAGAATGGCCTGAGAAATGGCGCCTCGAATTGTATTGTTTAATATTAACATTGCTGTTTAAAGTCCATACTAAAGACGATTATTTTTTATATCGTCACCCATTGAAATTTTTCTATTTTAGGTACTACCTATTATTGTTCTTATTTTAATTAATGAGGTCAATTTAATTATTCATAATAATATACATTATTATACAGGACGTTTCTTAATAACGTGATAATATACTGAAGGGGTGATTTTTAAGCCCATTTTATGAAAAAAAAATTAAATGAACCTATGTCTTAAAAGTCTTAACTTTTGAGATATGTCTTTGAGAACTGTCATTTCCATACCACATAATTTTTTGATCTGAATTTTTGAGTGAATTTTTTATAGATTAAATATATTCTCGCATCGCTTATAATTTTATGTATTTCATTTAAAAATTATTCAATTTGAAGTATTTCTTGCACACTTGTAAGTTTAAAGAAAGCCATCAATTTTATATAAAGCGACTATTGTTAGACAAACGTTTCTAACGCAAATAGAGGCATCAATAATTCCCGGTCGAAATAACAAAAAAACCCCGTAGAGTCTCTAAAACCCGGAGTCGGATTTAAGTTTTCGATCGCACGGCGAATAATTGAAAACCATCATTACTATTTGAACGAACGACATTTTAAAGCGGGACCCGCCCGGATTCGATGTCAACGTCAATTTCTATTCGTTAAAGCCGGAAAGGTGGTAGTTCGTGTGTCGTCACATCGCCCTCTTTTTCAATAAATAACGATTCTCAATCAAAAACAAACTTTTCCGGGCGTATAATAGCGTTAATTTCGCCGTACTTGTACATACCGTTTTCTTTGATGTTTCGAGCGTTCTTGAATTTTTCACCGATCGATTTTCTTTTATTCATAAACCTTTCGGGGGTTAATAATAAATGCTCCCCCCGCATACAAACCGGATCAGTGCTTCAATATTACATACTGAAAAACCGATTTTCTTTGCTACTGACATTTAATGTACTGATTTATTATTTATTGTTATCGAAACTGAACAAACTTTTTCTCTTTTCGTGTAATATCATGATGAAAAAACGAAAAATGAGATTTAAACGTTTGAAATGTTCGTCAAAAAATGCTCAAATTGATGCAATTTGAAAAAAAATAGCGAAAAAGGGTCATTGAGAGTGGAAAATCTGAAATTTTCATGATAAAAGAGCAAATTGATGCAAATTTCATAAAATTTAGC